GTATTCAGATGATACATTTAGTTCTCTGTAAGCCTTTGCGATGAAACTAGAGGTCAGGAATTCATCTAACTTTATGGCCAAAAATTGAAAGGACAAGGTCAATCTTTTTTTCTTTCTCCATCTGCATATTTTTTTTTATAGGTCTTCCACTTTCTTTTTTCCTTAAGCAGGGGACAGAAATTTCCTGAATTATCTTGTTCCCCTTGACTTCTTTTAAATATATTTTATTACCTCAAATACACAGGAGGATTAGAAAATGTGTTTTATAACTGACTAGGTTGTCTCCCTTATCTGGGTTTTATTCTTCCTTTTAAATTAATTTTTTTTTTTTACAACTTTCCATTTAGAAATTATAAAGTAGACTCAGCAGACAACATGTCTCCTGTTTTATATATATACTCTTATTGGATTCTGTACAACACAAAGGTTTCCAGATTAATTTTGCGCTTTGTTTCAGCTTAATTGTCGAGATTTTTTTTCTTTCGGAGACTAAATACAAAGAGATTAGGTGAGGTCCAAAAACAAATTATCATAATCAAATGTTCTTTTAAATTAACTAACAACTGAGTGTTTTCACAGATCAGCCATTGTTTCTTAGAGAGTTGTTCTGTAATTTGTGCAGCTCATTTTAAATTACAACTTCTCTTTGGCCTTGTAATGACACTCTTTTAAAAATTCTTACGGATATTTAAATCTAAAAACATTTATTTTTGGTTTGGTATTTTGTGTAGAAGACACCCAGATTATCTTGATTTAATGACAATACTTCTTACATTTCTGTCAGCGCTCATCACAATGTTTTAACAGATCATTACGGATTTAAAGTGATCATTATGGGATTTAAAGGGATCAATCCCGAAATCAATTGTAGTAAAGTAAGAAATAGAACAAATTTAAAACTTGATATCTAACAGGAAAGCATTTAAATATGTTGGACTTGAACCCCATGCACTTTGATCAAAATTGGAAAATGAATTCCGATCTTTTTTATGATCATGCAAGGAGATTTAAATAATGCACTGTCTTGAACATGGAGTATATGTATTTTGATAAACACACAAAAACCCATTGGTTTCAACCCTGCTCTGAAATATAAATCAACTTGGAAACTATTGAGCATATTTGACCCATATACATTGTGATACATGGAGGAGTAGTTAATAAAACACTGGTCATAAATCACGACCAGTTCCCTCAATCATGACCACTTCACATATATACAAAGTGAAATGTAATTTACAATCCATTGTCACCCTCGGTAATCAATATTTCCTAAAGAAACCCACCAGACAAATATGTTTGCAATCCCTTCCTAATCTGGATGAAAGTAGATTTTTTAAATTGAATATTTGTAATTCACATTTATATATATAAAAAGATTTTACCTTGAGAATTCAACTTATTAAATCTATCAATGCCTGATACAGTGTGCCAATAATATACAGTGTTTTGTCTTAATTCATTAAATTGCTTGAAAAGCTTTATTATGGACAATGTTTTCTACATAAACTATACAATCATACAGTACATAATGTGTAGCATGAGCTAGATAACTGATTTCCTCACAATGTAAAAATGAAAGACTGAAAAAAGTGTTACATTTTTGTTTGCTATTCTGCAACTTATATTAATGTCTAACCTGAAAGTTATTCTAATATCTGTTGTGTTACCATCTTCAGAAACCCATGGTCAATCTCGCAAATATGCTCAATAAGTGAGATTGACTGTGAGTTTCCGAACAATGTTATCTGATCTCCAAGTTATTCTTTGATGGTTATTCATAACTGTTTGTGTTCTGTCCATATTGAGGCATACTGAATTAAGTTAATAATAGGACATTGACTAATTAACCCATACATAAATTAGACCCCCTCTTTGCTTTATACATTCATCACACATTTTGACAATGAACATGAAATACCACAAAACAAAGAGTAAACAAAATATAAATTATACTACAATTAGTACAAATATTAATGAGGTTCCTATGTTCCATCTGGAACCAAACAGATCCCTGATGATGATAGTACACATACTCTCTTTGTAAACCTGTTTTTCTCACCTGTAAGTATTACCCGGTATATGAATTCTACTATAGTTAGTACACATACTCTCTTTATACACCTGTTTTTCTCACCTGTAAGTATTACCTGGTATATATGAATTCTACTATAGTTAGTACACATACTCTCTTTATACACCTGTTTTTCTCACCTGTAAGTATTACCTGGTATATATGAATTCTACTATAGTTAGTACACATACAGTCTTTGTACACCTGTTTTTCTCACCTGTAAATTCTTCTTCTTGAGATCAGCTTTAATATTCTGTGCGAGTCTGACGTCTGTGGGGTCGTAAATAAGATAGATAACATCAGGTTTAGAGCGCTGAGTCCTTGCCCTGAGATGCCAATTGTCAGCCTGTCTGTGCTCACGATCCAATGTCTGCAAAATCTGCTGCATGATCTTTTTTCTGACCACACGGCTATCGATTCCAAGTTGGTGGATCATATCTTGGTCTGTTAAAGACATCATTAGGAAACCATCCACCATGCTCTCTGCCAGACTCTGCCGATAAAATTCCTTTATTCCAAGTTTAAAAAGCCATTCTTGCAAATCATTTGCATTCCACTGACAAATCTTTTTACGTTTATATTCCCCTGTGAAATCAGTGTCTGGTGGGGTGGTGGGGGCAGGTGGGGAATGAATTGAAGCATACCTCTCGAGTTCTTCCATTATGGCTCCAATCACAACTGAAGTCTTCTCGGCTAAACTTAACTTATGATGGTCAGCAGAAGTCAATTCTACAACATCCTTCACTAATAAGCTAAACTCCTTTGGCATTTCACTTTTTTCTAAAGATGAAAACATAATAGGGAATATTGCAACTGAGTTTGGATCCATCTTAAGTCTTTCCACAAGGGTTTTTCCTTCATAGACTGACACAGGACAAGAGAAGTAACTGTCAGACATTATAAGAATTGCAGCTCTACACTTTTCAACAGCTTCCATCCGTAATGAAAACCAGCATGGACTGTCTGTATTTTTCTCATCTTTATCAAACCAAATGTCTTCAGCGAGATTATTTTCCTTCAGTTGACGAACTGTTTCTACTACAAATTTTCTTTCCATGAAGCCAGCATCGGGAGAGTAGGAAATAAAGATGGTTTTCTTGAGTTTCTTGGTTTTAGTTTGGTTTGGTGGGTTTAACTGGTCTTTTCTGTTGTCGTTCTGTAGATTCGACCCCTCCCGCTGGACTGCCTTGGGAGCGTCTCTGACCCTTTCTGGCTGGGATCGTATATTAGACACGGAGTCAAATTGGTTTATGTCGTCCGCATCATGGTTTATCCTGCCCCTCATCTCGTCTGCGTCCATGGCCGGTCTTTTCACCATCAGTTCGTCAAAGCATGCGCTTAACGGGCCTGTACCATTTTTAACACAACACTTCGAAGCTTATCCTGAAAATTGTCTCCCATGAATAAATGATTTAACGCTCTAGCACTAAAAATGTTAAACGATCATTACACTTTCTGTTCCGCATATACATCAAGCGATTTAGTAAAATCAAGCACCTGCTTTACGCATAGAAACCAAACATTGTTTATATCAAGGCCGCTTACGCACTGACGCATAACGCGATCGCCTAGATCAAATAAATATTGGCACTTTATACTAGTCGAGGGCAAATTTGTAAATTTATCATCATCGGTCAAACGATTAAACTTTTTTCTTTATCATAGCGATAGGTATTGTTGAACTTGGCCTTAGATAAAAAAAAAAAATAAAAGCTTCGATAAAAAGATCATAAAACTAAATGGGAGGCGGATCTCAAGGGGTGAATTTAAAGCATGTCACGACTTTCAATGTTAATCAATATGACGTGCTTTCAGTGGCGTACATGTCTGTTATGGGCTCTAAATTAGAAAATAAATGTTCTGTTCTGTTCTGTGTAGGTGTGAAGCGGCTAGCCAGACTTCATCTGAGACACAAAGCGTAGGTCAGGTCACTCCCTTCATTTAAGAGGGGAGGGGTGTGTGTTTGAGGCCCACCTCGAGAGAAAAAAAGCGAAAAATAAATACAAATCGCACGATTTTATCATTCAAGAAAATTAAAATATATATATAATTATTTGGGTTTGCTTTATTGGGCATATTTTTCCCTTCATCGAAACTATGATTTTTTTTTTTGCAAACTTTTAAGACATCCATAGGCCTAGTTGCCATTTGAACGGTGACATTGAACATTTTTAAAGTTATGAAATAAATAAAGGGTACTATTAGTTACATATTTTTATGAATTCTGAACACGTTGCCCATACTGAATTACATGCATGTATACTTGGTTGCAATAATGAAGCCTTGCCTGATTTTTACAATGTTGGATCCGAAACTTTTAGGACCATAATTTAAGAGGCCCATGGGTCACATCATTCACCTGAGGAACTATGACCCTTGTTCTTCATGAACAGATTCTTTTTCCTATATATTTCCATGTAAAACTTGATCACCCTTTGTAGTCCCACCCTATCCCCAGGCGTCATGATTTGAACAAATTGAATCTACACTATCTGGGGATGCTTCTTAATAAGTACGTGTAGCCAGTGGTAGAAACATCAAATATTGGTTCAGGTTTCAGATACGTTTCATTAAACCTGAAACTATGTTCGTGAGAAGATATTTACAGATTTTTCCTATCTATTTCTATGTAAACCTTTGATTGCCCATAGTGCCCACCCCTACCCCTGGTCATGATTTGAATAAAGTTAATCATTTCCTATGTAGCTTGTAACACGAGCTTTTATCCTCTTTTGTGGCTTAACCGTACACCTGGGGGAGGATGTTTTGAACAAATTAGAATCTGGACTTCTATCAAGATGACTAATCATACATATAATTAATACATGTATGTACATGGACACATTATTCTCTTAAAACTACAGGTATCCACCAGTCTGTGTATATTTGAACAGGAAGGAAGGAAGACTTATTCTCTAAAAACTTCAGAATATTTTATTGTAAAAGTTAAATGCAACATGAGGGTACAAAACTGTGGACAGAATCAGCACTAGATTTTTAAAGGAAATAAAATTTACAGACAGAACTAGTGAGAAGACGATCAATTGTAAACAGAAATCATGTCACACATTTAAACAGAAATAATATTCAATGTTCAACATAAATGGCTTTAGGCCTGAATGAGAAAACCATACAACACAAAAGACACTGAGAAGAAATTAATCTGTTTTCACAAGGCAAGTTTTGGTTGCAAAAATGGAGGTAACAAATGTTTTATGTAAAGTCACTCTTTAGTAGAGAGCTCCAATGACTATCAAATTCTTCACTCGGGAATCTTACATACTAACAGATCATTTGAAAAATTTTTAAGTTACCACTCACTCATGAATTCACTCACTCTACTGGAAAACTATCAGTCTGGTTTGAACTCTCTCACTCCAACTGAAAAACAATCTGTCTGAGATAAAAAAAAAAGAAAACACTTGGCTTGAACTCACTGACTCCAACTTGGAAACAATCTGTCTGAGAAAAAAAAATGGCTGGAATTCACTCACTCCAACTGAAAAACAATCTGTCTTGGTAAAAAAAAATGGCTTGAATTCACTCACTCCAACTTGGAAACAATCTGTCTGACAAAATGACAAGCACTTGGATAACTTCACTCACATTTCACAGAAGTCATCCATTCAATAAACTGAACAAAATCATCAAAAGAAATAAAAACTTCAAATAATCTTATTGTTTACTGAAAGTATTCCTCAATTATCTGACTGAACACATCTGGTGATTCTGACTAGAGACGCAATTCACATGCTGTTACTATTTATATCACTCAGTCCTCGACTTCTTCCTGCTCTTCGTTGCGCACTGGTTCATATGGCAGCACACCTTGGCCTCGGTCTGGATCAGGCATCCAAAAAATCTTACGACTTGGGATCTCAATTCCAAGTTTGCTGTAATTAGAAAGGAGAGAAGGATTAATTACCTATTTAAATGTCCAGAAAACCTTTATTGTTCAATCAAAAACTGAACAGTTAAAGTAAACAAGAGGCCCATGGGCACCATCCACATCCATTTTCCTATGTATTCCTATGTATAACATTGCTCGTTCATTGTGGCTCCATCCTACCCTATAGGGTCATGATTTGAACAAACTTGATTCTACACTACCTGAGGATAACCAATCATGGCTTTGCTGTTCTTGAGAAGAAGATTTTTCCTATACACTCCTATGTAAAACTTTGCATGTCCATTGTGGCCCACCCTACCACAATGTTTTGAGGAGTAAGGAAGATAAACTATTTGTGTAATATTGTACCTCATGTTTTGAGGAGTGAGGAAGATAAACTATTTGTGTAATACTCTACCTCATATTTTTAGGAGTGAGGAAGATAAGGGTGAATTTAAAAAAAATGACCACCAAACTGAAAAATTTTGGAAAAATTCAGCTACTTCTAACATATTTTTCACTTATATCATCATATTGCACATGCATTCTAGTTTAAAATCCTGAAGTGGCAATAGAATAGACAATTGGATTAAAAAGTTTCAGAATTTTTATTAGTAAAATTTCTTTTGAAAAAAGAAAATATCATTACACCTTAAAAGACTTTCTAAAATACATAATTACAAGAAATCATAGTTTTTTATGCTTCAAAATGGTAAAAGGGGTATAAATGATTAAATCTAGACCTTGATTAAGTATCTTCTCTTGTATGTGTGACAAAAAATTGGCTTTTTGAGTGTTATTTTACATTATTTTTTCAATTCTGGTTTGAAAAGTTTTAATATGAAAAAAATATGAAGTAATAAAATTCACCAAATTTCACTTTTTTGTCCGTTCAAGCCAATTCTTTAAATCTAAGTCAAAAAAGAATTTTTATATATGAGTTCTCTTACAAAAAATACTAGATTTTAAAGTGATCCTATGTTACATTATTGTGTTGCACTCCTGACATCTGATATGTATTTTATTTAACATTGTTTTAAAAATTGTAACACACAATAACCCATTCTTACTTTGTGAATTAATTTGTCGTTTTGATATTTTTGATCGTTTACGGCAGGTTTTTCATATATTGATGACCTTGAGACATGATTATTTGCAAAGTATAATATATATAAATTGTATATAAAACTATATGTGAAATGATGAAAGCTATTCCCTGAATTGACTAGAAAATTTCTGTAATTTGTTGATAGACATAGTGTTTTGAACATCAAATAGTATCAAACATTTTTTAAAACTCATTTTTTAGTAAAGATAGTTGAAAAGCATTGGTAATTAAAAAGCAGTTTTGTTGCACTCCTGACTGCAGTAAAATTTAAAAGTAAAACTGTAGAACACAAAAATTCATAAAGTGTTGGCAACATCAAGTGGTATTGAAACTGTGCAATGTTATAGTCCAATACTTCATAATTAAAACAGATGAAAGTATTTTTAAAATTCGCATTTTATCTGGAATTATTCCCAATTTATGCCAAAAAACTAGCTTAAATGTATATTTAGAAGATAAAATATATTTTATAGCATATTTTCCTTTAGAGGACAAACACAGTAACCCACCAGAAAAATTCTACTCATCATTTTTTCTTTATTTTTATTCTTATTGGATGATTTATAATTCTAACATATTTGTTGCACTCCTGAGCAAAAGCATTGGGGCCTTTAAAGTAGAATTGTGAAGTGAAAATTACATAAAAACTTGTTCTGTTGTATCAATGAAGTTGAGGAGGAATTACTTGAATTTTATGACAATTTTTTAGTGTGTTTATTTTTAACATTCATTAAAAAAATCACAAAAAAGATAAAAACACATCTGAATTGATATAATTGAAAAAGGAAGGATTTTAATGATAAAACTGTCAATAATTTAGTATTCAATTATACAAAAAGATCATTATTAATTAATGAATATGTCTAAGCATGAATAGAAGTGTTTTCATCACACAACTTGAATCTTTAAAAAAATGTGTTGCACTCCTGACCATAGAAATATAGATCTGAAGCACAGACACATCCTGTAATTGATAAATCTATTTGGTAAAAATGTTCTTTGTGTCTTTCTTTTCCAAAATAAAAATCAGAAAATCATATAATGATAATAGTTTTTTCATTCTTGAGAGCAAAACATCAAATGTTGCACTCCTGACATTATTGGGTATGCACATATACTTGACTCTAATTAATGTTGCTTGTGATTTATATAACATTTTTAAGTTTTAAAATGTATATCAGTTATTGTTTTACACTTCGAAAATTCTTTTTTGTCTTAATTTTCTTTCAGAATTTTACAATTGATGTTTTTTTCACAACACTACATTTTTTCTGTTGCACTCCTGACATGGTATAACATTTTTTTAAACATCAGCCATGACCACAACTTGATTAAACAAAAGTTACTACAGCGCACATTTAAAGCTCAATACTTTGAATATTATCAGGAAAGTCTTTATTTTCAACATAAAGCATTATTATTTATTTCACAGATCTCCAAAAAATATTGAAATTTCTAAATGTAACAAAAAGGTGTTGCACTCCTGACAATTTTAGCATCATTTTTGGGCATAACTTTTTTGTTAATTGAGATATCAACGAGATATTTGGTAGGTATTTAGACACTATCTAAAGACATATGCTGCGACATAGAAATCTATTTTCATTGCTTGTATTTTTATTCTGGGTAGATAAATATGCGTTTGGTCATTTTTTTTGAATTCACACATAAACTATTTGTGTAATATTGTACCTCATGTTTTGAGGAGTGAGGAAGATAAACTGTTTGTGTAAAATTGTACCTCATGTTTTGAGGAGTAAGGAAGATAAACTATTTGTGTAATATTGTACCTCATGTTTTGAGGAGTAAGGAAGATAAACTATTTGTGTAATATTGTACCTCATGTTTTGAGTGGTGAGGAAGATAAACTATTTGTGTAATATTGTACCTCATGTTTTGAGGAGTGAGGAAGATAAACTATTTGTGTAATATTGTACCTCATGTTTTGAGTGGTAAGGAAGATAAACTATTTGTGTAAAATTGTACCTCATGTTTTGAGGAGTAAGGAAGATAACTATTTGTGTAATATTGTACCTCATGTTTTGAGGAGCGAGGAAGATAAACTATTTGTGTAATATTGTACCTCATGTTTTGAGGAGTAAGGAAGATAAACTATTTGTGTAAAATTGTACCTCATGTTTTGAGGAGTAAGGAAGATAAACTATTTGTGTAATATTGTACCTCATGTTTTGAGGAGTAAGGAAGATAAACTATTTGTGTAAAATTGTACCTCATGTTTTGAGGAGTAAGGAAGATAAACTATTTGTGTAATATTGTACCTCATGTTTTGAGGAGTGAGGAAGATAAACTGTGTAATATTTTACCTCATGTTTTGAGGAGTGAGGAAGATAAACTGCTTGTGCCTCTGGTTCTTGGCCACAGCCATCATCATGTCCATTGAGATTCTCCTGTTGACCATGTCCTGAGAAAACATGAGTAATGACCTTCAGCACACTAATGAGTATTTGAGTAATTTAATGAAATAATATTCAAGCATTTTTTTTTATCATGCTTCTAAATGTCTTAATATTTAACACAACAGTATTTTTACATATCATGTCACAAACTATTTGGATTTTGTATTATTTTTCAGAAAGAGGAAAAAATGGACAAAATTGTCTCAATTTTTACTATAAAATTTGTAGAGCGCAGGCCTGCTCCAGAACAATATTTACATACTTCATTGATATTATTATTCTACACATTATATCAAAATATTGGGCTTGAGCAGACCTGCGCTCGGTGACTTTTACTCAAAATATCAACATAATATACATCTTTTTCTGTAGAAATCATAGAAATTTTGAATTTACGTCATTTTCCTGATGTCATATCAAACATATGGCGTCATGGCTTATAAAAATATTCAGTGCTTTGAAGTCTGCAGATATCCCCCTGTTTTAGAACATAATTATATATTTCTCCATCAAAGTTTGATTTTGGGGGCAAATATTGGTCATTACCGAGTATAGTCCTCTGCTGAAAAGTGGCAAGGAAAGCTAAATGACAACTTGAGACTTCGAATGAATAAAACAATTTTTTACATTTTGAATTCGTAATTATTTTAAGTTATAACTGATTTAAGTTCCCCTTTATTGGTATTTGAATGAAATATATTCCAATCAATTCTTTATATTCATTATCTGTTTCAGTATTGAATGAAATAATACTGTATACAGGAAAATTTTCGCCTGCGTTTTATTTTCACCCCCTTCGCCCAACACACTAGTGGGCGAATTTAAGACGGGGCGAATTCAAAGAAGACAGCATAATTTCTTAAACAGAACTGTGACTGGGTAAATTTAAAATGGGGCAAATTGTTTGCAAGTGTGACAGGGTGAAAATAACCCTGTATACAGTAGAAATTCCACTTCTTCAATGGTGCCATATGCAATTATGAACTTTATACTGGATTTCGTCCGACCTCTTGACGCATATCATATTATTTCTTACAAGAAACTATTTACTTTAAAATATTTTATGAACAAAAAAAATTTGGATCATAAAACATGGTTCTGATATATATGATGGGGCATAAATACAGAACTCTCATGACAGCAAATACACTAAAAAAAAAAAAGCAAGTACATGTTTATTTCTAAAATTTCTATTAGGAGAGTGTAGGAGGACATTTCAAATTTACCATGAATACGTCAAACTCATCTAGACATCTAAATGGAGATTCCATAGCGTCCCATAATGCCAGGATAAAACAAACGGTGGAGAAGGACCGCTCACCACCTGACAGGGATCGCATATCCTTGGCTCCCTCACCTTCTGATACTGTTGGTTGGACCTGTACGTTAACAGAAAATAGAACAGTCTTACAAAATATAAACATAAACAGAAAATAGAGCAGTTTTACATAATATAAACATAAACAGAAAATAGAACAGTCTTACAAAATATAAACATAAACAGAAAATAGAAAATAGAACAGTCTTACAAAATATAAACATAAACAGAAAATAGAACAGTCTTACAAAATATAAACATAAACAGAAAATAGAACAGTCTTACAAAATATAAACATAAACAGAAAATAGAACAGTCTTACAAAATATAAACATAAACAGAAAATAGAGCAGTCTTACAAAATATAAACAGCAAAAAGAAAATAGAACAGTCTTACAAAATATAAACATAAACAGCAAAAACAGAAAATAGAACAGTCTTACAAAAACAAGATATACACTTTTTGGTGCATTGTTACAACAGAAAACACAAAAGCTACACATTTTACAAAATCAAGATGTAAACTTAATGTTGTTCTAATGCCTATTGTATTATTATTATTTTTTAATTTAAATGTATTAAAATCAAGCTTACAATTACTTATAAGAGCATAAAAAATGTCAATTAAAAACATCTACTAGGTGAAAATTTTAAATTATGTCATACATAGAAACATAAACTTATCATGGACCATGATTTTTCCTTTTTTTTTAAATATATAAAGCAAAGGTCTAAATTACAAAATCTCAAGACAATAATTAACACTGAATAGGGAAAAGTATCCCAAACAGTTTTTGAAGTGAAAAATAACTGCATAAGGAAAAAAAAATGCAAGCATGCACAAAACAGCAGTGAAAAGGGATAAATTCAATGAAATTGGGATTTTATAGCAACAAAAGCATGGTCATCCTGCAGTCATCACAGTGATTTTCCAAGCCACCTGTGGTCTGTTTGTGTCTTAAGTAACTTCCTGTAACTGTATCTGCTTTTATTTAAATGAGCTCACATTACTAAAGGGGAATAACTCTTTAATAAGGAAGATAACTCAAAAATATTGCTACATTATTAAAAATTTTATCTTCAAAGTACAAAAATTAGAATTGTCTAAATTTAAATTGTACCTATAACTTTCAATCCCCCCCCCCTCCCCCCCAAAAAAATTCTTGTGCCAAAAGTTTTCAATTAAATGTGACAAATAGGGTTTTTTTGAAAAGGGGATGTTCTTTTACAGCTTCAAAAAGAAGAACAAGTTCTTTCCTTTTACAATATGTAAATAAAATTGAACAATGTGGTAGCATTCAGCCTAAAGTGGCAGTGCCCGACTTTTCTTTTGGCCTTGGAAAATAATTATCATTAAAGAGAAAAATCATTTAGGAAGCAAGGATGAATCTCTGATAAATATACATGACCATACCCCATGAAACGGAGTAAAAAATGTAAGTACATGTACAATTGTTCAATGTACATTTGTGGATAATGCTTATAAATATTTCCAAAAAAGAACAAGTCAGTCCAAAATTCTAGAAAACTTTGTATATTATGTAACAAATAAAAGTTAATTTGGTTACAAACTTTCTTAACATTTCAATATTCAAGGACATTAACTGATTGAATGTAACACTTTCAAGTGAAGAGATTCTATAGGTCTCGCACAAACACCGATTCTGTAACAATGTCAGCAGTCTATTGTAAAGAAATTCCACAAAATTATCAGACATTAATTTGATGGATTCTGTACTTGTAGCAAACAAATGCTAAACCCATCAGCAATTTATTGAAAAAATTGTCACTTTGTTTTACTGTAGCAAACTAATGCTAAACCCATCAGCAATTTATTGAAAAAATTTTCACTTTGTTTTACTGTAGCAAACTAATGCTAAACCCATCAGCAATTTATTGAAAAAATTTTCACTTTGTTTTACTGTAGCAAACTAATGCTAAACCCATCAGCAATTTATTGAAAAAATTTTCACTTTGTTTTACTGCTGCACATTAGAACTTCAAATATCTCAAACTTTGGTATCTCAAATATACCATGGATGTGTAGAGGGGAGTAGGAAGTCCCAACAAATTTTTTCTTTATTTTAACCTCATTATCTCAAATTCTCTGATGTTTGTTTCTTTTTTCTCGGTCCTCTCGAGATTTTAAGATAACAAGGTTAGACTGTACTTATCTATCAAGGAATACAAAATATATGCACACCACAAACAAATTTTTGGAAGGGGGGGGGGGGGATACATATTCTGTTACAGTTTAGTTAATAATGATAAGCATATCACTGTGGAGGCTCATCAGAGGGTGAGGTTCCTCTTCACAGAAGGTGAAGTTCCTCTTTACAGAGGGAGGTTCCTCTTCACTGAGTGTGAGGTTAAGGAATTTTAAAGAATGAAATTTCATACTTTAAATTTGAAATGGACATAAAATGCTCTCACTGAATTTGTCCTTGATTAATGATGAGCTCACATCTTTACTGGTTGATACAGTTTCTTTCACAGCTAAGAATTAAATAGCACACATGCTCCAAGTATGGAATCTGGGACAAAAAGTGTGAATAAAGCTTAGTTTTGCTGATGAACAAGAATGCTGCCCTGATACAGATGTCTGTGCTCGACCTGTAGATAGATGTGATTGGATGATTATTTTACATGTAACTTACATTCATTTCTAGCGTTTCCTTTGAGTGATTAAAGCTCATTTTTCCTGTGTAATTCCTATTGCTAAGCAGTACTATGAAGAAATATTTGGCCCTCATGGCAATAAGCTTTCTGAATTCAGAGTACTGCTGTTGACGTTGGTTCATTACTTTTTCTAGGTGCTGAAAACAATAAAATACAAAGTCCCTTACAACAGTTAACAAATGGGCGAGATGAAAGAGAGAAGAATTCTGAATACTACAATATCTTCCTACACTTTAGTGAGAGGTCAACATAGTTGTTTTTAGCTCATTATGGCTTTATTTTCAAATTTCTTATCGAATATTGGGAAATTCCTGAAGATGAATAAATCTTTAATAATGCAAAATGACAAGAAAATCTTGTCCTCTGAGTGTTTTAAGAACTTCTTCTTTCTTCCATCATTCCCCTTTTATTACAAGGAATAAAAAAACATACTAGAATTGAGATGGCCTCTTTTTTATGCGAGATTTCCATTTTGCAATTCCAAGTTGGCTTTGTGATGGCTACGTGATTTATAAAATTGAGCTTAATCCTAAGCGAAATAAAGCTTCGCATTTTACGAGAATTTAACTTTCTCCGTTCTAAAGCCTCTAACAGAGCCTGAAATTAAACAAACATTCTATGAGGATAAAAATTAATTTGAAAAGAAAAAAATCTGAAGTATTTAAACAATTGAAATTTGAAGTACCAGTTCATGCATATAAACCATATTAGATTTTATATCTTTTTTTTTTCTTAATAGAAGAAGTGTCAATAACAAATGCACAAAGAATGTTTTTATTGGAAGGGGTTTTTAAATCAAATAGATCAATTACTGCAAAATGTTGGTAAAATAACGAAATATATAATGCTAGAAATTAAAATTCCTAGCGAGTCAGAATTCAGCTTTTATGGAATTTACATCACAAACTGGAGGGACCTTAAAGGGGTCCGTGCCCGGCTAACCTGCCTATGAGAAACTTCTCAACAAAATGTTAAAAATTTCCCTCAGTTAGGATCCAAAATGAGCTGAGTCAGGTATTGATCACTTGTGCTGATCATTATTTTAACTAAATTTCTTGTTGTCCATTCTTAATTTTTCTAGACATTTTGTGGAAAGACAGACATACATATGTGAATTTTGAAATCCCCCAACTTTGTTGGCAGAGACAAAAAGAATGGTTTCTGGAAAAATCACCAAGTTTTAGCCACCAATATTTTCAAAATGAACAAAGCCAAAGTATTAATGATTCTTAAGGGTATACATGTACTGTACATGTTTGAAGTGAGGAGTCCATTCCTTCCTAACACGAGTATAGATGCTTAGGCCTTTCAACATATATTTTTTTTCAAATTATCTTTCAACAACTCAATGATTTGTTCCAAACAAGTCTGAAAATACAAAAACTGACAAGTTGCTAAATTGATCTGCAAGCTTAGAGGCATTGGGAAAGAATACTAAAATAATCAACCACCCCATGTTGTAGATCACTAAACATTAACTCGAATGAAAAGTTAGCACTCTGACTCTTACAGCCAATTTTTCACAAGGCCTTCATGTGTTTTTAAAATGATCCAAAATTTAAAATTCAATTAGGAAATGTGACAAAATATTGTAATGAAGGAACTTCAATTCATAATTTGATAATTAAATGTAAGAATGGCAAGGTGTTTTATCTTTAAATGGCAGAATTTTCCTCTAAGAGTGGCAAATTCATTTATCTATCCGTATAATGCTGGATTGGCTGTGTATGGTTTATTTACCTGTATAAATCTCTTACACTCCCGGACCTCTGATTGAATCTTCCTGTACATATCTCTCTTCTCATAAAATGCCCTTGTGATCTCCTCAACATTACCACGGCTGTAAACAGAAGATGAAGAGGAACTTATTAATAGCAAATACAGAATCTTTAATCCTTTGTGATGTATCTACTCACCTCTTCTCCTCAGACCATGTAGAATCTCTAATCCTTTGTAATGTATCTACTCACCACTCCTCAGTCTGTGTAGAATCTCTAATCCTTTGTGATGTATCTACTCAACTCTTCTCCTCAGACCATGTAGAATCTCTAATCCTTTGTAATGTATCTACTCACCACTCCTCAGTCTGTGTAGAATCTCTAATCCTTTGTGATGTATCTACTCACCACTCCTCAGTCTGTGTAGAATCTCTAATCCTTTGTAATGTATCTACTCACCACTCCTCAGTCTGTGTAGAATCTCTAATCCTTTGTGATGTATCTACTCACCACTCCTCAGTCTGTGTAGAATCTCTAATCCTTTGTAATGTATCTACTCACCACTCCTTAGTTTGTGTAGAATCTCTAATCCTTTGTAATGTATCTACTCACCACTCCTCAGTCTGTGTAGAATCTCTAATCCTTTGTGATGTATCTACTCACCTCTTCTCTTCTGCCTTGATCTGTTTGAGGATCTGTGTTATCTCTAATCCTTTGTGATGTATCTACTCAACCCTTCTCCTCTGCCTTGATCTGTTTGAGGATCTGTGTTATCTCCAATCCTTTGTGATGTATCTACATACCTCTTCTCCTCTGCCTTGATCTGTTTGAGGATCTGTGTTATCTCTAATCCTTTATGATGTATCTACTCAACCCTTCTCCTCTGTCTTGATCTGTTTGAGGATCTTTGTTATATCTAATCCTTTGTAATGTATCTACTCACCTCTTCTCCTCTGCCTTGATCTGTTTGAGGATCTGTGTTATCTCTAATCCTTTGTGATGTATCTACTCACCTCTTCTCCTCTGTCTTGATCTGTTTGAGGATCTGTGTTATCTCTAATCCTTTGTGATGTATCTACTCACCCCTTCTCCTCTGTCTTGATCTGTTTGAGGATCTGTGTTATCTCTAATCCTTTGTGATGTATCTACTCACCTCTTCTCCTCTGCCTTGATCTGTTTGAGGATCTGTGTTATCTCTAATCCTTTGTGATGTATCTACTCACCTCTTCTCCTCTGTCTTGATCTGTTTGAGGATCTGTGTTATCTCTAATCCTTTGTGATGTATCTACTCACCTCTTCTCCTCTGCCTTGATCTGTTTGAGGATCTGTGTTATCTCGAATCCTTTGTAATGTATCTACTCACCTCTTCTCCTCTGCCTTGATCTGTTTGAGGATCTGTGTTATCTCACTCTCTAGATTCTGAATTGTTCGCCTTGTGTTTATTCTCTCTGCACAGATCTGCTCTGCTTTCTTAACATCACTCTGAATTTAAAAAGAAATGCATGTTGAAAACACAATGCCCTTCAAAAGTTACTGATTTCTATGGTGGCACATTATCATAAGAAACCTGCTTTTTGGAATTAAATGTCTCTATCCATTCCTCTTTTTTACCAAAGCCAAAAAAAATTAATCAATAGTTTCTAAGGCACCGCCGCATCAGGTCAAAAACTGCCGCATTGATCAATTTTATCGACATATTGAAAAGGGAAATAACTCAATTTTCTATTATTCCAAGTTGAAATTCTCCTTTTCATAATAGTAATGGATAAACATTTTTATTAGATAAACAATACATTTCTTGTTAAAATGGTATTTTACCAATTAACTTTTAAACCAATGTTTGGAATAGCATTATTTAAAGTTGAACGTATATTACAATTAATATAAGAGAACAAAAAAAAAATAGAACAGTTGATATCATCATTTTATTGAACAATTAGCATAAAAGAGGGTGTAAGACCTGCTTCAAAAAAAAAAGAAAAAGAAAAAAAAAGAACCTGCCTGCCGCATTGAATTTCAAAATTTTTGGCCTGAGAAACTATTAATTAATTTTTGCTGGCCTAACTGTCATCATTTTGATATCATCTTCTTACATTATCAGTAAAATACTATAAATTCAGGTCAATCCTATACATATCTTACTGTCAGTATTTTCGAGCTTAATTCCCTCAAGAGCTTCTCTTAAGTTTGGATTCATCCTAGACCTTTTGAGTCCATGTGAACTAACTTTATAAGAGATTGGATCCACCACCTGATTTCCTTACCTCCAGTACTTTTCATGTTTGATTCCCTCAAAAGCTACTCTTAAGTTTGGTTTCATCCTCAACCTTTTGAGTCCATGTCAATCTAACTTTATAAGAAATTGGATCCACCACCTGATTTCCTTACCTCCAGTACTTTTGTTTGGATCCACCACCTGATTTCCTTACCTCCAGTACTTTTGTTTGGATCCACCACCTGATTTCCTTACCTCCAGTACTTTTGTTTGGATCCACCACCTGATATCCTTACCTCCAGTACTTTTGTTTCCTCCTCCACTTTTGTCTTTTCCTCTGAGATCTTGGCTTCTTGCTCACTCAGCTTCTGCTCGTAATGTTTCCGGTGAGATTTTGCCTGTTCTATCTCAACCTGGGCGAGTCCAAACTCGTCCTAACAAAAGAAAATAATCTATTTTACCTCAAATTCAATAGTAAAAGTACCATGAGAAAGCTCAACAAATTAATACCCCCACCTGCAATTTATTCACAATTTTATAAATTTGACATTGAACTTGCCAAAATGACCTTGGTTAAAAAATAAAAGACACATCCCCTGGTCATAAGTAATCTTTGAGTGCAATATGGACTTCCAATGTTTCTTCATTAGAAAATTAAATATCTGGCATGAATTTTACACTATTCTACCAGTGACCTTGAACTTGCCACAATAATCTTGGGTCAAAGTTATTACATACTTTTAGCTCAGGAATAATTTTTATTCAAAGTATGAAAGTTAAATATGCAAAAATTTAATGTTTTTTTTCCTAGTAACCTTGAACATGCAGAATGACCTAGGGTCAAGGTCATGGCATCTTCAAGACAAGTTATATTTGTATGAACTTCCATGTTTTTCCATTAGAAAGTTATAAACCAGACATAATTTTTCTGCCAGTGACCTTGAACTTGCCAAAATGACCTAGGGATAGATCTTGACATACCCTCAAGTCATAAGCAATCTTTGTGCCAAGTATCATTTTTTTCAATTTGCCTCCATTTGAGAGTTATAAACAAAGCATGAATGAAACATTTTTTACCAGTGACCTTAAACTTGCTGAATGACACTAGGTCATGGTCAATACTGTGGTACGTACCCTCAGATCATATGCAATATTTGTGGTAAGTATGTTCTTCATTGCAAGATGTGATCCGGACAGGAATGAAACATTTTTCTATAAGTGATCTTGACCAAATGACCTTGGTTCTAGGTCATGACACACCTTCAGGTCATAATCAATCTTTGTATGAAATATAAACTTCCAATATTTATCCATTAAGATTGATCGATTGATTGTTTGTTGTTCTATGTCCCTTGCGAGAATAGACATCATTTACTGGGAAAGGCTTTAAATTTATATACTCTGTAAGTTACTCTGCATTTACAACCACTGAGCAATGAAGATTCTTTATCTACCATGACACGAGACCTACATTTTTTAAGGTCATATAAAAAAAAAACTGTGAATTTCTCTTCTAATGCTGGCTGCTTGGCGAAGGAACAATCACTACCTATGTTAACATCTTAGATTTAATACAGTGCCGGGTACGAGAATAGAACCCAGTGCCTCACAATCACAAAGTGAATGTCCTACCACTAGGCTACCATGACTGGTCTCCATAAGATGCCCTACCACTAGGCTACCATGACTGGTCTCCATAAGACTGCAGTGTTGGCTGAGTTTTGTTTCACCTTGAATGTTTCCTATCTCCATATCTGGATATACATGTACTGTTTTCTACTTTTACTTTCTCTTTTCTCAAAGGTTCCCTTCTTTCATTTTACACTACATTTTCTATTATCGATGCATCTCTATTTTGTCATGCTCTACACCACTTTATAGTTTACCTTATTTAGCTTTGTTTCCTCTGCATTCTTTTAAAACTCTCTCTCTCTCTCTCTCTTGAGCCCTCCCCCCGGGACTCTACCTTCAGAGGTTCCCCGACTTCTGCCTTCTCCCTCATTTTGCTCTCCACTTCTTTAAACTTTTGTTCCTCAGCATTGCATTTTGTCAGCGAGTCCTGATATTGAGCATGCAGCTCGTCTCGCACCACACTCATCTCGTTGATCTGAGTATCCAAGTTATTTACTTCTTCCTCCTACAAACCAACAAAGAGAGCACAAGATGACCTCCATACATTCAAATTAATATCAAAACAATTAGAAAACTTTCAGAAATTACTGTGAAATCATTATTGTTCATGGAGGACCAATGTCTGTGGATTTTGTGGGTCACCCTTACCCATGAATTTACATCCTCACGAATGTTTACATGTATTTTGTAAATATATTGATTCACTGAATCTACAGTATAAACATTAGACAACATAAATCATTGTAAATGATCTCTGTAGTTTGGTTAATCTAAACAAAGGGAGTTCCCATGATGTATAACTTACAATTATATGATTGTTGAAATTTTAGACAATGTAGAATGTACTTTTCTTGTCGATGATTTTTTTAATGATTAATTTTCAGTGATACATACCAGTGTTGTGACATCTATGGGGGCTGGGTCCTCTATACTCTTCAGCTCATAGATTTCCTATACAAAAAAAAAACCCATCAACAGAGAAACATCAACATTACATAGTACATGTATACTTAGATCATGTCCATTAATTTCTTTAAATGCCAAGTAAGCACAGTAAAAGGATACATATTGCTTAATTAACAACCTCGACAATATCAAGATGATATATACAGAAGAATCTTTATTACAGATTTTTTTTTCATTTAAACTGAACAAGCATGTTTCTGGTTTTGTTGACTTAGCTGGCTTATTAGTTTTAACTTACATTGTTGACTTAATTGACTTATATTAGTTGTAACTTGCATTGTTGACTTAGCTGAGTAATTAGTTTTAACTTACATTGTTGACTTAATTGACTTATATTAGTTGTAACTTGCATTGTTGACTTAGCTGAGTAATTAGTTTTAACTTACATTGTTGACTTAATTGACTTATATTAGTTGTAACTTACACTGTTGACTTAGTTGACTTATCAGTTTTAACTTATATTGTTGACTTTATTGACTTATTAGTTGTGACTTTTCATTGTTGACTTAACTGACATATTAGTTGAAACTTACATTGTTGACTTTACTGACTTATAAGGTGTGACTTACATTGTTGACTTAATGACTTATTAGCTGTGGCTTACATTGTTGACTAGATGACTTATTAGCTGCGACTTGCACTGTTCACTTTTGCTGACTTATAAGTTGTGACTTACATTGTTGACTTATAAGTTGTGACTTACATTGTTGACTTATAAGTTGTGACTTACATTGTTGACTTTACTGAGCTTCTGTTCGATCTTCATCAGCTGTGTCTCACACTTCTTCTCCTCGTTCTGATTTTGTCGTAGGTTGTCACGGAGACTAACTCGGGTCTGTTCCTTTTTCTGTATTTCCTGTCTCAGTTGAGTTACTTCCCCTTGTAGACGGTGGATGTCCTCCTCCGTATTAGACGTGAGTACCTTAACATGTGTGTTGGTGTTGGAGTAATACCTCAGACATGGCACACTGTGAACCTGATCACCCTCAACTGTGAAAGCCTACAATCACAAGTATTACCCTTACATAGCAATGGCCGTAGTATAACTTCTATTTTCTGACTTAAATGCTGTGCTGAAAATAATTTATTATCTTCCTAAATTAAAAAAACGAATATTGAATTTAATTCAAATCATCTCCACATTCTTAAATCTTTTTATCCTTCCAACAACTCTTTTCACTACACCATACATTTGTTAAACTTTGGACAAGCCTTTGTTAATCCTCTAGGAACACTGTTCATAAATACTTAAATTTAATAAAAAAAATTTGAACATATCTATTTCTTAAACTTATCAGAGCAATTATGAAGTTTCATTGCTGCTGTATACACATATTAAAAATAAAATTCAAAGAAACTGGGGCGATAAGCTGAGCCATATGCCTACATAACGATCGATAAAAAAATCAATAAATTCATTTTACAAAAATTTCACTTTTTGTTGAATTAATGTAATGGTTATTACCATTTGCATACAAATTTGACAAAACCTGAATACTGTAACAGCGAAAATGATTCTGATAAACACATCAAAATGGCACCACGCTCAATTTTCACAAAAACTGAAATAAATTGGATGATATAACTACATTTTTTAAATAGAGTGGGTCATCGTACCATTTTTTTTGAGAACGATTAATGAAAGGCAATGGAAAGACGTTGCTTTTTACACTTGCAAAAATTTGGTATGAAGACCCACTCTGCATAAAAAATTAAGTTAACTTACTTAAATTTTCACCGTGGTCTTAAAACATTCTAAGTCCAAATACGCTTGCTAAATATAGAGAACTGTATGCTAATTAAATGGGCATGTAAGTGTGACTCCATGGTCTAGTGGCTAGCGAGGAGCTCTTTAAAGGGACGTTTGTTGAGGAAAGTGTTCGAGTCAAGCTCTGATTTTTTTAATTATTTTTCTTGGTTTTAATTTTGTTTTACTTTATAAAATATGTCTATAGGAATAACATATTTTTCACTGGAAATAAAATATATGTATGTAGTAATGAACTCATTTACAGTAAATTATTTAAAATGCCGGATAAAAATTACTGTATAATACATGTAGATATTTGAATACTTTTATTCCCGTTTTTATTTATTTTTACTACAAGCACTTCTAGATCACCACTATCGTTATATACAATGTTAACATTTTTATAATATCTCCGCAATAAGTGTTAACACTCAATTGGCAGATTAATTAATAGAAGTCCCTACCCATGTTAGACACTTGTGACAGTAAATGAAAGTCAACTGTTTAGCTTGTTTAGAATATAAATATCATTTTGAAAACTACTGTAAACATTAAAATGCTTAAGTAAATTCGAACATGAGATATTTTTTCCAATAAATGTTCTTGCATAGCCGAAAAATGGGCAAGGGCATATGGCTCATCTTATTCCCCAGATTCTTTAGTCAATGATCTTTAAAAGTCCAACATAGATTGTATTTCCACACTAATCAAAGAAAACCACTACACATACAGTGTGTCAGTCACGTCCCCAAATGACCTATAGGGGAATTTTTAAATCATGTACATGAATACTTTATACTGTGAATCTTCTTTTTATAACATATACATGTATCTTGTATAATAATTTTACATTAATACTTAACACAAACCTCATGACAATTGACTGGTTGTGCTTGAACATCAGGGTCCATAACTGTGCGAGCCTCTGTTTTGTCTTCAATAAGCAGGATGTTTTCTATCCCCCTCTGGGAAAAAAAAATATGAACCCAAATACAAACATTGTAAAATTTTTACATTAGGAAGGAGTTACTATGCTTCACATTTTGCAGGGTTGTACATGATCTATCAATATATGTTAGAGTTTATGCAGGGTTGTACATGACCTATCAACATACATGTATGTTAGAGTTTATGCAGAATTGTACCCGATCTATCGATATACATGTGAGTTACAGTTTATGCAGGATTGTACCTGGTACATCAATATACAGTTGAACTTCGATATCTCGAACACTGATAACTCGAATATCATGGATATGTCGAAGTGATTTGGTGGTCCCAACCACTTATGTTTTAAAATATCTCGAATCCTTGGATATTTCAAAGTTTTTTCTTGGTCCCATCGAGTTCAAGATAACGAGTTTTGACTGTATGTTAGAGTTTATGAAGGGTTGTACCTGATCTATCAAAGTGTTAATGACTACTGGGTCCTGGGATTCCACCACGTCAAATATAGCTGGAAATTTATCACTCTGAGCTCTCTGTAAATGACAAACAGGTTACAGGAATTCTTCAGGAACTATCATAGCATGTGCAGTGAAACACATTGTGAAGTGATGTGGACAAATAATTTTGATTTGCTATAAACTTCATTCATTATATCTAAGTGCATGATATGTTTTAAAACTATAGGGGTGTAAAGATATACCAATATTCAGCAATGCACAATAAAATTGTACTGTACTGTGGTACAAAAACAATTTACCTGTGAATTACAATGTAATATAAATATTATTTCTTTTCATTAAAATTAACCTAATAAAAGTGATTTTCTTTCTTCAGTTTAGCTGTTTTTATTGTGTTCAGAACTTATTAAATGTTACACAGTGAAATAAGCTACAACTTCTTGTTTCACATTTTATATAATAAAGAGTTTCTCATTTAAGAACCGAGACATACAAATTCTATAAAAACTACATGTATGAAAGGGGAAATATTGTGCTAAGTATCATGATACAGTCCCAGTGTATCATGATACTTCACAATAATCTCTAGTTGTATCATTACACCCCTATTTAGATCTCTGCTTATCATACTGACAATAAGTGTGGAAATTCATGTGCATTTTGTCTTTTTTCTCTGTCACAAAATTTATTTTTTAATTAATCAACTTTAAATAATATAAAATTTTACTCACAAAGGCCGAAACATTGTAAACAGCATTCTGAAAAAGAAAGTTTAACAGTGCTTTCAGCATACTAGTACATGACAAAACATTATAAACATTATCATACGCATGGATGATTACAATGTAAAGGATGTGTAAAACAGTCTCACACTGTAATAATCAAGTGCATGTAAACCAAAATATATCCTGAAGCAATAAAGTTGCCAAAGTTCAGTGTTTTATTTAAATCTATGGAAGATAATCTATAACATACTGTCCATAAAGGCTGACAGTTACTTTCTGAGGTTTAAATAATTCTTAAGATCTGATGACACATTCCTCTTCTAACAATTTTTTGTATCTCCAAGTAATTTACCAAAATTACATGTATTATTATAAAATTTAATTCTGGTTGTACCACACTTTTTGATTGGCTGAAAAATTAGCTTATACAGTATAACCTGGGTTGCCTTCGTCACACTGACTTGTGTCAAAAACATATCAATCTGCTTGACGTTACATTTAAATTTTGTACAATTTAATGTCACATTTGAGGTGAAATTGTCTTTTTTTCCCTACACTTAATGATAGAAAATTAAATTATAAGGAATGAATTTAATAGCTACCCAGTTATATGATATAACCTGGGTTGGAACAGTTTATGCTTTTTTATAAACCGCTTCTACTATCATCTTGAACAAATGCCTGGTAATGTATCTCAATTATTTGTGAGGAAACTTGTTAAAGTACCAATACTTTAATCACAAATCTTGGGAAAAAATATATGTATAGTTAAAAGTGTATCATCAGGCCTTAACTTTTAACCCAGTTTTGTTAAACCCTGACCTTGAAGGCTGCCACAATAATGGAAGGCCTCTGTCTGTCGTTACACACACGGTCAAATATACTCTCCAAAACCTTCTCATCGTGGTGGTCGTGGCAACAGAAGGAATGTAACAAACCGCTAAGACACCGCTCCACTGCCAGAGCCCATTTAGGGTCCCGAAGTTTGAAACAAGCTCCTAAATTAAAATACAATAAAACTTGGTTATAATGAAGTCACTGAGATCTGTGAAGTTACATGTACTTCGCTACATCTGTAATTCATTATATCCTTATAAGGCATTCATAATATGTATATAGCTGGAGTTCCGCAAAAACTTCGTCCATGCATTTGCATTATTTGTGTTCATACTACACAAGTTTTATTGTACATGCATTAAACAATGATACAGTTTATCTTTGTTTACAATATTCCTTTGAGAATTGACGATGACAACGTGGGGAAATATCTAATTCCATAACCCAGCACTATCTGGTTACTAAAATTTTCAAAATCATTAAATCTGTCTTGAACTGTAAAAGAATCTTTGGGTTGCAGATATTGAAATATAGTCTGATGTTCAGAGCAAAATATCTTTTTGTATATGAGCGATTGTTTATTCATGTATTTCTACATACAGTTGAACTTTGGGATCTCGAACACTGTAACTCGAATATCATGGATATGTCAAAGTGATTTGGAAGTCCCAACTACTTATTTTTTAAGTATTTTACCCTCGATATCTTGAATCCTTGGATATCTGGAAGTTTTTTCTTGGTCCTATCAAGTTTGAGGTTTGACTGTATTGTTTTAATAACAAAATTTGTAATTTCCAAATTTCATTGTGAAAAAGAAATAAAATTAAATTTCTTTTGGTATCATTCTATTCACATTACCAACACTCTCTAACAAAACAAATTCTAAAGATTTGAAAATCTCTCTCCCCTATTGTCCATCACGGTATTATATCCACTGCATATACAATGTTCAAAAAAGTGGAGAACGCATCAACATCACAACAATGTCCCAGAGTAGAGATGACCTCAAACTGTAGTAGGGCCAGGGCTTACAGGGGTATGACAATTATTGTGGCAAATAAAGGATATAAAAGATACTGATTTATGCAATTATTTGTTTTACCTAGAGGTCCCCTTGGTTTTTGATGAAATTCCTTGCGTCTGTATCTTTCCTCTATGTGCTGTAGTAATGTTGGCATGTATGGACCAAATCTTGCCAGTCGATCATTTTTAGCACCCAGCAGGTCATTTAGCCTTTTCTTTTTCTTGTCTTCATGTGCTTTCATACCGTTGACATCTGCCCTGAAAAGTACGAAAATTTTATGCCAATTACCATGAAATGCAGAAGAATGAATTCAATAATTTATCCAAATACATATATTTGCTTATTTTTTCACCATTTAATTTGGTTGCTCCCCTCAAGTTCTACAATTAAACCTCAATATGAAACTTTATCCTCCCTCCAAACAATACAAACACACAAAAGGTTCTGGTCAACTTTTTGACAAACTTTATCTGTAGTTTCCATTAATGTATAATACAAGCTTTGCTTCATTTGCTTACTGCATCTGCCTCTCTTCTCCTACAAGTTTGTTGACAGCCCCTCGGAAGTTTTCTCGGTCGTGTTCCGTTGTTGTTTGCTGAGCTTTGAGGGCCTTCATCTGCTCCTCCAGGTTTGCTATCTTCTCCTCTCTTTTCCTCCTCTCTGCTTCGTAATCATGTTTGGCACTACAATTTACAGACCTCTACTGTATATCTATACTGTACACATACATGTATATATAAACCTCTACCATAATCTCTGCTTCGTAATCATGTTCGGCACTAAAATTTACAGACCTCTACTGTAAATCTATACAGTACAGTACACATACATATAAACCTCTCCCACTATACATGTATACAAATACTGTATTACATGTACATTTTTGTAGAATTTTATTCTCATATACATGTACATGTCTTTGTATACATCTATTGTAAAACATGAATCTTAATAGTAATCTAAAATCTCTGATGAGACTCTGCTGATTTGTTATTAATAATGGAAGGAAAAAATTGCATATGAACTTTTTGTACAGACACATACATGTAATTTACAGAATTATGAACATTTGCTAATGACCTTGTACTTGTCAAAATGACCTTCAAACAAAGTAATGACACATATTTAGGTCATTAGTAATATTTGCGTGAAGTTGGAACTTCTAATGTTTATTACAAATTTATGAACTGGATTTTTTTTTTTAAACATTTTTTTCTCCCAATGACCTTGAAGTTTCTAAAATGACCTTTGGTCAAGATAATAACACCCTCACAGGGCTCTAATTAGCAACTAATTTAGTCGCCATGAATGTGTTGAACATGTCGACCACTTATGACTTCACTTTGAAATTATGTCGATTGTTTATGACTAAACAATAAATTTATGGTCAGGTGAAGAACCTGTTTATACACAAAATTAAATACACCTTGCACACATATTGTTATATAAGGGGAAAATTTGCAAATGTAAATATTACAAGTTATGATCCCAACACAATTGTGTGGACAGATTCATTATCTTGAATCCTCAGATATCTTGAAAGTTAATCTTGGTTCTGTCGAGCTCAAGACAACAATGTTTAACTGTATACAGAATTGTGTATTTTGTAGTATACTAGTACCAATTTTTACTGATATCTTAAGAGTTTAAGAGGAGTAGTTTTTAATAACTTTGGCACACTGCGACGTGTCAACCATTATACAGAATTGTGCATCCTTGTGTAGTCTACAAGCCTGCCATTGGAAGATTTATTGAAGTAGAACCAAAACTGTAGGAAAAATAATGTTCTAAAAGAATTTCCCAGAAATTTTAGTTTTCATTGGCCTGGCAATAATGTTCAACAGATCAAAAATTGTTGTTTACAGACAATCAGAAAGACAGATGGACAACACTGTATAAGTCTATCGGAATCAAACACCATTGTTTCCAGACAAACAGATGGACAACAGTGCATGTTTTTTCTGGTCTTTGACCAATAAAGCTAAAAATAAACTTTTCCCTGCAAGATACAGGGTATTTAAATCTTTATAAACATTAACATTGTATGTAGGTCTCTCTCCAATATACAAGATTAATCAGAGATGTACATGCTTATTTTATATGGAAAGGAAATCCTAAAATTAAAGTATGATACTAAAATCAGAAAACTGAAGAAATCCTTATCCCAAAGTTGAGAGATCTGCAAAAATATAGAATAGCATGTGTACCTCCTTTGTAATTCCTTTATGCGAGCATTAATATCCTCTCTTTCTCTTCCCAGTTTACGAAGTTCCGACTCTTTTTTGCGGAATTCATTCTGCTGCGTGCGGAGGACTGCCTTAGCCTCCTTCAATGTTTCTTTCGCAGCATCAAACTGAGGGCGGAGCTGTTTGACCTCATCATTGGTTGATTTCAGGAGCTCCTTCAGATCATTGTGTTTCTTAATACAGCTCTCTACTTTGACCTACTTATAAATGTTAACAGGTCAAGACTGTGATCATTCATTTGCTACATGTGTAATACATTAATCAGAGACAGTTCTTATTTATCATGTTTATTCAATATATATTATACACTCTCTACAATACATTTGTCTTGTGACACATTAACTATGCAAAATGTTTTTATTTTTTGAAGTTACATTCTCAAAATGAATTGTGGAAGATTCCTTTAAAAATGTAGATGATTCTCAAAAAGGTAGAAATTGACAGATAATGAACAGTTTGTGTCTGTTTCATACCTTGGCTTCCTCTACTTTCTGTTTAAACTTTGGAATCCTAGATTCCTCCTGCTGGAGATTCTTTTGCATTTGCTGTAAATCCTAAACAAAAAGAGTTCCCTTAAAAACAGTCAGCTGTAAATCCTAAACAAAAAGAGTTCCCTTAAAAACAGTCAGCTGTAAATCCTAAACAAAAAGAGTTCCCTTAAAAAGTCAGCTGTAAATCCTAAACAAAAAGAGTTCCCTTAAAAACAGTCAGCTGTAAATCCTAAACAAAAACAGTTCCCTAAAAAACAGTCAGCTGTAAATCCTAAACAAAAGCAGTTCCCTTAAAAACAGTCAGCTGTAAATCCTAAACAAAAGCAGTTCCCTAAAAAAACAGTCAACTGTAAATCCTAAACAAAAGCAGTTCCCTTAAAAACAGCTGTAAATAAAAAAAACCCCCAGTTCCCTTGAAAACAGTCAGCTGTAAATCCTAAACAAAACAGTTCCCTTAAAAACAGTCAGCTGTAAATCCTAAACAAAAACAGTTCCCTTAAAAAGTCAGCTGTAAATCCTTAAAAAACGGTTCCCTTAAAAACAGTCAGCTGTAAATCCTAAACAAAAACACTTCCCTTAAATAGTCAGCTGTAAATTCTAATCAAAAACAGTTCCATAATATAAGGTCAACTGTAAATCCTAAATAAAAACAGTTACTTTCAATACAGTCAGCCTTAAATCACATGCAAATATATATATACTTTTGTACATTTGTAAATTCTAAAAAAAAAATTCCCCTTATATTCTTAGCTGTTAATCCTAAACAAATACTGCCTCTTCATATATGGCCAAGAACTAAGAACTACATGAATTAATAATTAACAAGGTTATTCTTTTTAGGTAAATTAACATTAAAAAATACGTTCATAATATATCCACATAAAATAAACACATGATTAAATCAAAGCAAAATTCATCCCACAAAGACTGCATACCAATATTTATTTGAAAATCTTCATTATTTTTCAACTAATTAGCTTAAATGTTCCATGATTGCCCTGAGATTCCCCTTAACTGCATTCATTATTAGAACATCATCAGAGATCTTTTCAGAATTTGCCACAGAATCCCCCCTCCCATCCCAAATATCTGCTTTTTCAACATCTAAGTAGGCAGAATTTCCTACCCTTTCTCTGGAGATGACAAATGCCCATGCTAATTCTTGCTTTCGTTTCTTCATTTTGGATTTCAGTTCATCGAGGGCTGTCAGAGATTTAAATTTCTGCTCCCACTCTAAAACCTCTTTCTCTAAGGTTGGTAAAGTCTACATAAAAAGAAACAGCAATTATAGCCAAATGAAAAGTGAATCACTGACTTATAGTGGAGCATATGATAGAATGTAATGACTCAGATAATTCAATTTAAAAATAAATAACATAGTTAAAAAGTTTACAATTTCTCTGGGAAATGAATTGGTTGGTCATATAATCAAATCCAGTGAAGCCCAAAGGGCTTCTCAGATTTGATCACATACCAACGAAGTTTATTTTCCAACATTTTAACCTTGTTATTTATTACTTATATTTGAGATATATATTCGAATAAAAATACATGTATTACATGAACGGCCCACCATATCACTATGTTGTGACATGCAGTGACCTATATACAGTTGAATTTCGATCACTGACTATGGATACTCCTGAAATGACAATCATTTTACTTTGGAATAATACTGAAATGCTACTGTTTAACTTCAGTCAGTGCCTGTTTATATTTAGATATAAAACAGTAACATTGAAATAATGGAACCAGGCAGGGCCTATTTACATGGAATACAGTAAGATTGAATAATTAGAACCTGTTGTTTTTTCTCTATGATTTCCTTGGTTATTTCCCTTTGTTCATTGGCTCTAGTGTAATCCAGCATCATCTGTTCTAACTGGGTCGCTTTCAGGAAGAACTGTAAGAAAGGAATCAGGGATGTAATAAGTAGAAGACAATTTCTGGTTATACTCTCACACTCAGAAAGGTAACCTCCCTCATTTCCTTATAACCTCTATGACCAACAGACCTGATGTCACAATGACAACATTTGATGTTACGAGTATACCTGAAGCTACATATTTTGATGCGATATAAGAAGGTACGGTACTTGTCTAATAATTGTAATTCAGAGGGTAGCTTGTATCTGGTGTAGCTGGCATAAAACATTTGAGTTTACTTTGTGTCTGACAAGACGAAAAATTAATCTTACATCTCATGTTACATGCTGAAGTTACATAAGATGGTATCTTGTCTCTGCTACCCATATAATCAAATCTGTAACATTTAGAGGTTACTTTGAATATATCTCCAGGGAAAGTTACAGTAAGAATTTACATTATATGAAATAACACAATGTTACATTGTTAAATTAAAACCCATGTTACATTATGATGTAACCTTGCATCTCATATATAACAGCTTATTTTGTACATGTATTTGATGTTAGAAATACAGTTCCAGTTCAATAACTTGGTAAACTTTGTCTGTGTTCAGGTATTACCTTGTATCTATCTTGTGGTGATTTTGAGTTGTCTGTGTATGTTACCTTGTATCTATCTTGTGGTGATTCTGAGTTGTCTGTGTATGTTACCTTGTATCTATCTTGTTGTGATTTTGAGTTGTCTGTGTATGTTACCTTGTATCTATCTTGTGGTGATTTTGAGTTGTCTGTGTATGTTACCTTGTATCTATCTTGTGGTGATTTTGAGTTGTCTGTGTATGTTACCTTGTATCTATCTTGTGGTGATTCTGAGTTGTCTGTGTATGTTACCTTGTATCTATCTTGTTGTGATTTTGAGTTGTCTGTGTATGTTACCTTGTATCTATCTTGTGGTGATTTTGAGTTGTCTGTGTATGTTACCTTGTATCTATCTTGTGGTGATTTTGAGTTGTCTGTGTATTTTACTTTGTATCTATCTTGTGGTGATTTTGAGTTGTCTGTGTATGTTACCTTGTATCTATCTTGTGATGATTTTGAGTTGTCTGTGTATGTTACCTTGTATCTATCTTGTGGTGATTTTGAGTTGTCTGTGTATGTTACTTGTATCTATCTTGCGGTGATTTTGAGTTGTCTGTGTATATTACCTTGTATCTATCTTGTGGTGATTTTGAGTTGTTTGTGTATGTTCAGGTATTACCTTGTATCTATCTTGGTGTGATTTTGAGTTGTCTATGTCACCTTGTATCTATCTTGTGGTGATTTTGAGTTGTCTGTGTATGTTACCTTGTATCTATCTTGCGGTGATTTTGAGTTGAGGAAGTTCCGGCTGGTATCCTGGTTCAAAATCGCCACCGGGTTGTCCACTTGGATGTTGAATTGGTCCAGGATAGCCGTTAATTCCTCTCGCTTCATAGAAATCACTTTACCTGTAAAATGTTCTACATTTCACATAAAGCTTTGGCAGGGTATACAGACCTGTTTACCCATATTGTTGTCTCTCAGTATTTTTTATTACATTTGTCAGTGAGATTTGGCATTTGCCCGTAAGATTTCACTTTCCATCGATTTTACTAGATAACAACTACATTTCCGATTATCAAAACATGGTTTAATAACAAAGAAAAACATCATGCTTTCTTTCGAGGGTTTTGGTCATTTTTTAAACCACCGCGTTTTAGCAACCCGACATTACCAAAGTTTTTGAAATTTTTCACTTTTTTAGCGATTAAAAAGCGTCAAACTGAGAGAGATCATAACGAAAACTAACTGTTAAAATCCAAACGAATGGATTTCCAATTTCTGTATTTTCATAATAGCAAAATGTGAGACGTATTTTGGACTCAAAATCCGTACAAAATACGGCGAAATCGTAAGAGTAAACAGGTCTTGGTATATAGCAATCACTCCAGTGTGCAATTTTTTAAAGAAATTTCAAGAAATAGAATCATGGATGCAATTTTCATCTTAATGTGCCCTTTTCTTGTTCCCTGATGCCTTCACTCATGATTAAAATGATTAAACATGTTTAAAATGTTTGAGAAAACTGTCTTTGGTATAATACCAAACAAAAAAATTTGAAGTTGTGAAAAAGTATCCAGATCAGAAAATATTGGCATGTGTAATGTGTTCTTATCAAGAGGTGCTTATAAATGTATGTTTAAAGGTATCCTCCACAGTGTTAAAAAAAAAGAGGGTAAGGAACATCAACAAATGTTAGGTGTTGATCTTACTGAGGAATTGACACATCAAAATTTAGGGAAAGTTCTTACAAATATTAATCAGTTTAAGGAAGTGAGGAATTGACACATCAAAATTTAGGGAAAGTTCTTACAAATATTAATCAGTTTAAGGAAGTGAGGAATTGACACATCAAAATTCTGGGAAAGTTCTTACAAATATTAATCAGTTTAAGGAAGTGAGGAATTGACACATCAAAATTTAGGAAAAGTTCTTACAAATATTAATCAGTTTAAGGAAGTGAGGAATTGACACATCAAAATTCAGGGAAAGTTCTTACAAATATTAATCAGTTTAAGGAAGTGAGGAATTGACACATCAAAATTCTGGGAAAGTTCTTACAAATATTAATCAGTTTAAGGAAGTGAGGAATTGACACATCAAAATTTAGGAAAAGTTCTTACAAATATTAATCAGTTTAAGGAAGTGAGGAATTGACACATCAAAATTCAGGGAAAGTTCTTACAAATATTAATCAGTTTAAGGAAGTGAGGAATTGACACATCAAAATTCTGGGGGAGTTCTTACAAATATTAATCAGTTTAAGGAAGTGAGGAATTGACACATCAAAATTCAGGGAAAGTTCTTACAAATATTAATCAGTTTAATAGGGGTGAAACGATACACCTCCTTCACGGTTCGATACGTATTGTATAATTTTGTCTCGGTTCGGTTATTTTCGATACGATACATTTTGATAGAAGGAAACAAATTCTACGTTGTTTTATGCTTTCTTTTTCTAAATCTAGTCATATATTTTACGAATTTTATTTGCAAATTGACTAGAAGAAATTGATTAAAATTATTTGACTGTCAAAAATTATTTTACAAGCTATCAGTCATCAAAAATTTACGTTTTCTATACTTATTTATACTGAGTAACGTATTATACCTTATGCCAAACCCAACCGTATAACGATCCCGACCGAAAAATGAACCGAACCGAAAATTAGAGATTTTGCACCGCGTATCAAACCGAGAAAAAATACCGCGGTGCATCGATACCGCGGTGAACCGTTTCACTCCTACAGTTTAAGGAAGTGAGGAATTGACACATCAAAATTTAGGAAAAGTTCTTACAAATATTAATCAGTTTAAGGAAGTGAGGAATTGACACATCAAAATTTAGGGAAAGTTCTTACAAATATTACTTAGTTTGCATTTTATTGAAGAGCATCCTTATCACTGCATAAACAAAGAAGAAAAATTCTCAAAAAGAAGAAGATAGAACTAATCCACACAATATATTTTCTTGATATCTGCAAGGCTAATAAATTTCAATCTGTTTGAAACATCTATATCAAGTTTAATTCTGAAAATGCATAATCTCTCCTACAAGATTTTTTTCCAATACATATATATACCCTACTTAAACCACAGACACTTGCCTTCTTTGGATTTGATTTTATAAGATGATGATCCGTCGCATGTGAATTTCCTCTCAACAATGATCTTATCTCCATAAATTTGAGATTTGTACGCATCGGGCCCTCTGTTTCGGAGATGGATTTCCGTCTCTGCCGTGTTTTTGCCAGACTTGATAAAACTTTTAATAGTGCTTCCTCTACTGGTTACTGACGCTTTTCCTCCCAGCCCCACCACCAACGCTGTTACCACGGCACTCTTACCACCTGTCAATCAAAAACAAAAATTCATTAGCACCAAACTGTTACCAAGGCACCCTTAGCACTTGTCAATTAAAAACAAAACTTCATTAATATCTCATTTCTTTCAGAGAGCACTCCATGGAAAGCAAAACTTTATTTTGATGACTTACTTCCATTTCTTCCAACAATAAAGTTGACATGTGGCCCCAATGATACATCAAGACGGCTGTGACACATGAAATTTTTTAGAGATATTTTTTCCACAATGCCAATATCTGCTTCTCTCTGAAATGAAAAATAAAATAATTGTAAGATTATTCTCTGTTCATTTATATACATACCTGCCAATTAACCCCCAATTTATGGGTCACACTAGCAAAATCACGTCATCACCGCCCACCACTACTCATCCCCAGCGGTCATCCCCCACTTGAATAAATTATAATACATGTATCCCTTCTTATTTCCCCAGTTAGAATAAACTAAATGTGTCTCAGAATAGGCCCTCCCTATTATTAAAATAGAATATGTCTATAGATGCTATAGGTGCTGTAATACAGCAGAATGCTAATTTGTAGAAATTATTTTCCAACATTAGTTTGAAAGATATACAGGCAAACCTGGTTCTCTAGTATTCAATGGGACCAAGAACAAACTTTGTGATATCCAATGATTATGAGATTAAAATAGAGAAAAAGTGGGTGGGATGTTTGTTTCAAGTTGAAGTACTCAATCTGGCTGAAACTGGTTTGGAAATGAATAAACTTTTAAAAATGTTTAAAGATATTTTCTTTTAAAACAAGTCAAAGTTTATTTGATATCATTAAAAATGTGGTGGAAGCCCTCATGTGGGACAGACTGTAGTCACACTGGACTACTAATGACATTCCACCAAATACAGTAATACTGAAATAGTTTTCATAGTTTTTCCAAACTCATCAGAAAGCACTACCATCCTTTCACTATCAATTACAAGATTATTGATTGTAAGCTGTGTAAAGATTATCAGTCTTACCGTGTTGACATCGTAGTTCTGCCTCTGGGTGAGGTCCATTTGTTCCTCTCCCTCATCTTCAGATGCCCTGCTGCTGGTGTCAGCATGGCTAGAGGGTTTCTTACGACTTGGTCCAGCTAACTCACTTCCTTTGCGCTTGGACATGGTCAACTCTTGGACATGGTTAACTCTGAGTCATTACTGATCTGTACTTCTGCAAGGGTAACCAATGATATAATGTGACAATTAATCAGTCCTGCTAAAATCACTTTAGCTACATAGCTTGATTTACCTATGTAGATTTACTTCGTTACATAGCAAAGTAGCTTGATTTAGCTATTTCATAATACTTTTTTTTAATTGAGCATTTTTTCAGCATGCAAAAGAAGTCTGACTTTGGTGCAATCTCCTATGCAGAGTTGTCGTTTGTCCTCTCTCAGACACCTCTGCAATGGGCTAGCGTCAAGATTTTTGACACAAGGTTAAAAACATTATGTTCCTATAATCATTTCAAATTAAAACTAATATTTTTAGATCTACTTAGTAAATATCTACCTTAAAAGACAAACATTACTGCAGGAATTTAATTATAATGAATTAAAACAAATGCACTATTTCTCGTGCTTATCACTGTGATATACGCGAGCCAAGGACAGAGGTGAATGTATGAGCCAATGGTAGAGAGTGACTTTGGTGCAGTAATAGTTTTCAACTTTAAAGTGTTTTGAATGCAATGCTTGAAAAAATAGCTTTTCAAGACGAGTATCCTTCAAATTATTTGCAATCAAATTTCTTAGTTTTGGGGATGTATAAAACATTTGATTTATGACCAATGGGTTAATTGTTGACTGAAATTATAAGAAGGAAAATTTTGGTAAACGTTGATTGATAATAATTACTGTATATACTCCCCTATAGGTCGGTGCGCCTATAAGTCGGTTGTATTTTTTTTGAGGTTATTTTGGATGGATTTGCCATTGACCCACCTTTAAGTCGGTACAACTTTTTGCCAGAATCAGTTGACAATTTCAAATCAAAGCTCAGATGTTTAAAGCTGGTTTCAATTCATATTTTTAAAAATTATGACGACATTTAATTTTAATCATTAAACAAATTAGTAAAACACACTAAAGATAAAAATAAATTATTAAATACTTGTACTTTATGTATGTTAGAATACACAATGATATAATATATCCAGATTTTGTTAAACGATAATCATCAGAAATGTTTATAAAATACTACATTTTGCAGTCCATAAAAATTCCAATTTTTTAGGAGTCAGACATAGAGTTTTGGACCAAAATTTTACTCCCCAAAAAACCGACTTATACGCGAGTATATACAGTAAGCACAATGTAAGTAAAAGTTCATGCCTCATTGCACGCAAGGTGGTGCACAGTTTCAGTTACTTAGTCAAACAATAGAAATATATGTTTTGCTAAAACAAAAAAAAAGTGTTCAAAAGCAGCAATGTTTGAATTATCTTTAATTTGGGTTACTAGCTACTTGACATAGTTTTATTTAGCTATTTCAATGCAAAATTTCACAGTTTTGCAATTTAAATGAAAAATAACAAGTATGTGACTACTAAAATTTATACTAGGGAATTGTAAAAAGCAACCCAGAGCAAAGATAGTTTAAACCTTTCTGTCATTTATTCCTGTTTTTAACACTTTCACTTTTATTAAGTAAATTACCAATCAATAATTATGTTAAACAGTACTGGTCTTCTTTGTTATTTCATTCAAGAAGTAACTGTTTGGTCACAAATTAACTGTTGTATATAGCCCCAAAACTTTAAGAACTTTAATTGCAATTGCGCTGAAGTTCACACATCTTGAAAAGTGTTTTTTTTCATGAATTGTTTTCACATCAGTTCAAAGTTGAAAACTATCACTGCATCAAAGTGCGATTCTTTGCATATGCTGAAAAAAAAGATCACTTAAAAAATAAGTACGATTTAGTAGCTAAATAAAGCTACTTTGAGAAGCTAAATAAGGAAGCTACGTAGGTAACTCAACCTACATAGCTAATGTACTGATTGTACTCAACCTAATAACTAATTCTAGCCATACATGTAAGTAAATTTAGTGATTGTACTAACTATCTAGAACTTTTATTCTAATCAATGGGATAAGAATGTTTTAATCATAAAGCAATATACATATATACATTTGTAATTCTAATTAGTACAAAATTGATTAGGAAAAAACCGCCAAAATTTAACATTAAATGCTAAGTATTAGGTAGAATTTTAGCAAAGGATGTGCTGTGGAGAATTTGAAGATGGATCAAAAGTTTAAAGAATAAGGCTTTTCCTGTTAAAAGTCGTCTGGATTAAAACACATATAAACAAATTTACCATGGACTTCTTGGGCCAAATTCTCAGACTCAATCCACGAAAACCCGAAAAATAACTCTTCAGTCGTTCGTTGAACAATTCGTTGGGTTTTCACTTCATAGTTGAAAAGTGTTATTTGAAACATATATATGGCATTTTATGTCAATGTGTAACAAAATGATTCAGCACATGCAGTGTAATTATAAAAGTTTAAGGAAATAATTATTTTTAGTAAGAAGAACGTACGGTAAAACATGTACAAATTGCCAAGAAGCCTCTAACAAATTTTAATCATTTAAACGCTTAATTCAAATGGGTCTTAATGGTAGTGTACCATGCATTTTATTCACGTTGATAATTTTTCAGCATGGCGGCCCAAAACAAACGTATTGTATATGTTGGTGAGAGTTTTTTTTTATTCAGGTGCAAAACCAGAGACAAAAATTGTTATTTAAATCTAGGAGACACCAGGTCCAGTGCAATCTCTTGATTTAACTATGTCATATATGGCAAGAATTTAGTGCTGACTTTCACCTATGCTCAATTGTAACTAGTTAGAATAATCTAACTGTGTCTCGGGACAAGCCCTCACCACAGTTAGAATACGTCCCATATACTTGCAATGTAGCAAATCGGAGTGGATCCACTCCGAAATGATTTTGAAGAATTCAAAAGGAGTTGCACTGAAAATAACTACCAAATTAATCATAACAAACCTTTTTGAGATGGTATATGTCTTTTAACCTAAAAAATAATCCATATAAATACGAAAAAATCAACTCATTTTCTCAACGTTTTTTCCTCACTTCAAATTTAACGCCATATTGACATTCGGAACTCTCTAGATTGTTTATAGAAGATGCACAGAGTACGAGTTATCGCCCGTGTTTATTTTGCTACATTGCCAATACACGGAACGAATTCTATCGTTAAACCGGGTCCGTAGGACAATATCATTTTAACGATAGAACGTTCTATCTAAATTGTAACCGGTAACACAGGTTACATAGCCTTTTCACTGGGGAGCATTTTTTCATTTATTCAGTTTTTCATTGGTTACACTGGTTACAAAGGTTACAGTGAGTGGTTACACTTGTTACAAAGTGATTAGTTCTTATCTTCATTTGTAACCAGTAACACAGCTTCTGATGAACAGGTCAGCATTTTTCATTTATTCAGTTATTAATTGGTTACACTGGTTACAATGGTTACATCTGTATATACAAATTCCCAATTGTGTTTAAGATGATTTGTCACCAAAAGAAAATAGTTGTAACCAGTGTAACCTAAAAATAAAGACCCCTTTCAGTTTCAGATGATCTGTAACCATTGTAACCGATTGTCACCAAAGGAATATAGTTGTAACCAGTGTAACCTAAAAATAAAGACCCCTTTCAGTTTCAGATGATCTGTAACCATTGTAACTGATTGTCACCAAAGGAATATAGTTGTAACCAGTGTAACCTAAAAATTTTGAGACCCCTTTTGGATTTAAATGACCACCATCCTTTAATTGAGAGATATATGTAACCTTTGTTACTGGATTAAATAGTCTTGTAACAGGGTTACAATTGAACATAGGTGAAAGTCAGCACTAATTTCTTGCCATATCTAAACTATGTAGCTTTGATTTAGCTATTCAAAATAGTTTAATGTAGCTCCGAATACCATAGAGTACCCCCTTCCCCAGAATCGCACTCATTTACACTTTCAGAGGAAATGCACTGGCATGACCGTTGGGGCGAGCGCAGATCAGTTTTAATTGAGATCGGGCTCTTCAAATCGCACGTGACATTTAGTACGTCTAGACTCTGGCGTCACATGACGTCGCTTGTAAGTTGCATTACCAAAACGAAGTCTGAACATTGCTAATTTTAATAAAGAAGGTTTAAATCTACCATTTATTTGCTATATATCCATCAAATCGAGTTGAGTTTTTATTTCTTAGAATTTCTTGTTACTGTGACAACATTGTTTGTGGCGGGATGCAATTTGCAAAGCATTATTTGACCACTGGTTACTGCCAAAAAAATTCAGTTGGATCAATTTGCAAAGTCAGAATTTTCTCTTCGCCCAGGCTTTGCTTTAAGAGCTCGCAGTGATGAGCGGCACTTTGTGGCGCTCGCTGCACTCGCTAACACCATTGTCTTTTATGATAATTTATCTACACAACCATATATGGCATGCTTGTCTTTATTTTCTTTTCTCTTCTTAAACAGTGTCAAAATTCTCTGAGTGGTAAAGTCGAATTACACCATGAAATGGTATTTGCTAATCCTGGGAAGAGATTCTGATTGGCTAAAAATCTGTTTCTAAAATTACATTATGTCACTGGGTTCACAGGTGCGTGAAAGTCAGTCAATATATCGGGTCTAAGTAGCTTAGTGGTTAGAGCGCTGGCACGGTATGCCAGAGGCCCTGGGTTTGAGTCCCAGTTGAGACTTGATTTTTCACCACCTGTGACATTTGGCACCCAACATACAAATACCCACTATTCCCTTGGAACATGCCTTACAGCATTTCCTTAACTCCTAGAATTCGAGGACGAATTTCTACAAAGAGGGGGAATATGTCACTGGGTTCACAGGTGCGTGAAAGTCAGTCAATATATCGGGTCTCAGTAGCTCAGTGGTTAGAGCGCTGGCACGGTACGCCAGAGGTCCTGGGTTCGAGTCCCGGTTGAGACTTGATTTTTCACCACCTGTGACAATTGGAAAAAATATCCAAGTGTTTTTATGGAAAATGAGACATAAAAAAATTTATTTATTCACTGCAATATTTAAAGACTGGAATTGAATTTTTAAACCCACTCATTTTTTAAATTTTGCTCTCTGCCTGGGAATAGCACATACTAGGGCTGTCACGATTCCAAAATTTTTCGGGTCGGGTCGGGTCTGTAAATTTTCGGTTCGGTTTCGGGTTTTTCGGGTCGGGTATTTACATCTATTTTAAACCTTAATTTCATGAATTTAATTGGAAAAATCTTTATTTGTTACATTAAATTTACATTGAAAACGTCTAGACATCGTGACTTGGCCTACTATTAGTCACAACCTGACCATTCCTGCTCGTTTTGATAATTATCTAACACTTCCGTGACAAGTGTTTTGTCATGGAATGAAGTAAATTTCAGTCGTGACGTTTATTTCACTGTTATCGTCATCATTCCTTTGATTTCGACACCATTTTTGTATTGAACAGACTCTAATATATAAACCAGACCCGAACCGAAATCCGGAAAAATGGAACCGGAACCGAAACGAAGAACTTGGACCGCGGTTCTCGGTTATTTCGGGTACTCGTGACAGCCCTAGCACATACCATTTCATGGTGTAATTCAGCTTTGCCACTTGGTGAGCAGAGTTTTGATGGCCCAAAGTGCTGCTTGTCACTGGGAGCTCTTAAAGCAATGCTTGGGCAAAGAGAAAATTCAGACTTTGCACATTGATCCAAATGAATTTCCTGTGGTCCCATAATGCTTTGTGAATTGCATCTCGCAACAAACTACGTTCTTGCTGTAGCAACATAAGTCAACAAAAAATAAAATCACATTGATTTAATGGATTTTGCAGAAAAACAGTAGATTAAACATTCTTCATGAAAATTAGCACTGTTCAGGCTTTTGTTTGGTAATGCAACCTACATATGACATCATGTGACATCAGAGTTTAGACGTACCAAATGTCATGTGAGGTTTGAAGAGATGGAACTTAATTAAATCTGAATAGGTATCTGCGCTCACCCTAACAGTCGCACCATCAACATATCAGAGCTGTAATAGTTTGGGCCGTGGACATCGGTCTGGATAGCTCAGTGGTTAAAGCACCTGACTGGTGATACAGGGGTCCTGGGTTCGATTCCCAGTCCAGCCTTGTATTTTCCGGGTTCTCCACAAGGGGTTTGTTTTGCCATGGCAGTCCACCATGGTTTACTTTATGTTGCTATGGTTAAACGAGCTGTGCCATGGTAAAAATGTGTGACAGCCATCATTAAATTTTTATTACATTTCAGTATTCACACCTACTTTCTAATGACTTAAGTAGTTAATTACGTGTATGCTTGTGTGGTTTGCACCTTGCTCTTGAGAGAGAGAAAGATTGTCCTAAATAAACACAATAGTTGATTTGCAAATTGCCATGAAGCGTGACAAGAGTTAATTAGCTGATGATCAATTTGAGTAGATATCTCCACACGAGAATTATTTTTTCTGTATACTACATGTAATTTTGGAGAATTCTAATGTGTTTGCTATGTAGCAAAAGATTTACAAAAAATTAGAACCAGTGCATTAACAGTGTCTCATAATCAACAAGCTTCTGAACCAAGTGTTAACCTTTCAAAATGTTTTGTTTGTATCTGTAGCTCTCAAGTTTGTCTGTCTGAATTTTCTCAACCAGAGAGATACATAATAATACTTGATATCACGATTACTTAACTTAATGGAACTCTTTTGCGGTGGAGGTAGGAAACATGAAATTAGCCGGGGGCAATGTGCTGTTGAATACACTACAAAATAGATCACTGTAGATTTTTATTTGTAGATTTATCAGCAATGCAGACTCTTTTAATAATAAATTCAATTATTTCATTCTGATAAACATTACTTTTGGAAGTCTAAACTTTCCCAATAAGATTACTTCCTTTCTGAAGTGCCACCATTGGCAATACATTGTACATTCAGCATACTCTTTGTTCGAATAATTTAATTATCACTAGCGTAACAATGTGCTATGCCCTGAAAATGATGTGAGATGTAGATTGCAAAAGAGTGTCATTAAGTTAGATAACGGAGAGGTAATCGCGATACTAGTTATTGAATTTTATATGTCTCAAATGATGAATCTGCTATTTCCATTTGCATACTGCAAATGATACCATGATTTTTCAGTAAACACATGTAGTCTGCCTTCACTGCATCTGGAAACATTATTTTTTTTATCACAAGATTTTTATAACTAATAAAATATTTTATAGTGACAATTTTTTTAAACATGGCATCACATACCTTTGCATAGAGATTCCAAATTTCTTGCACAGAATTGGGAAAATAGAGGATGTTTTATGATGAAAAAATGTCATATACAAATCATACAAAGTCATGTTTTTTGAGGATGCATCTGTTTGTTACTGGAGAAATTCCATAAGAATTTGTACATCTTTTTAAGGAAGTTGTTGCTATGCTTTAGCCACCATGTTGCTCTGCCTACAAAGAGGATTGGGAGTTTTAGAATTTTTTCACATGGACTCATAATATTTTCTTTGAACAATATGTAGATTTCAACCCAAATTTCCTCTTTTCCTGCATCTTGTCCTTAAATCTTGCTGCATTTACTATTAAAAATGACTTTCTTCTGACAATAATTTGAATAAGTGTTATGTTTTCCTCTGTCCACTACTGTTCTATTCCTGAGGATTTTACCCCCTGGAAACTCAGAAACAGCTGATTTATTTTGTAGGAGGATTAGCAGAGGAGGTAGATGAGAAGACATTACATGCAGCTTTTATTCCATTTGGTGACATTTTAGACATAAACATTCCCCTTGACTATGAGACAGGTAAGTGTAGACATCTTAGGCATTAATGTTTCCCTTAAAGTGTGGATTTGATTAATTAAAATGTTAGCTTGATAACATTTTAAGACATGCATGAAGGACAAGACAGGTATAATTAACAAGATTATGATTCCATTGATAAAGATAAATGGTTAGGTTATGAAATCTTAAAGATTGACATTCCTTTAGACTGAGAGACTGCTATTGAATTATATTTATATAACATGGCTCACAGTCCATGATAAGAATACATCTTTATATAAATGGAAAAAATGCCATCTTTAGCATGGAATGTTTTCTTTTTTCTTAGAGAAACACAGAGGGTTTGCCTTTGTTGAGTTTGAATTAGCTGAGGTAAATTTTCCTTCAATCTACTGGGTAAATTTAAATTTAGAAATTAAAGTGCATTATATTACATGTAGTATGTGTTTTCTAATACCGGTATATAATTCAGTGGGTTTTTTAAAATACTACCTAGTTTTTTTCTGCGATTAAAGGCAATGTTTTGTGTTTTGTAGGATGCTGCTGCAGCCATAGATAACATGGTAAACTCTCTCTGTATGAAATAACTAAAATAACATGGTAAACTCTCTCTGTATGACTGATAAATAAGTAAAATAGCATGGTAAACTCTCTCTGTATGACTGATAAATAACTAAAATAACATGGTAAACTCTCTCTGTATGACTGATAAATCTTTGAAAACAGCATGGTAAACTCTCTCTGTATGATTGATAAATAACTAAAATAACATGGTAAACTCTCTCTGTATGACTGATGAATAACTAAAATAACATGGAAAACTCTCTCTGTATGACTGATGAATAACTAAAATAACATGGAAAACTCTCTCTGTATGACTGATAAATAACTAAAATAACTTGATAAACTCTCTCTGTATGACTGATAAATAACTAAAATAACATGGTAAACTCTCTCTGTATGACTGATAAATAACTAAAATAGCATGGTAAACTCTCTCTGTATGACTGATAAATAAGTAAAATAGCATGGTAAACTCTCTCTGTATGACTGATAAATAAGTAAAATAGCATGGTAAACTCTCTCTGTATGACTGATAAATAACTAAAATAACATGGTAAACTCTCTCTGTATGACTGATAAATCTTTGAAAACAGCATGGTAAACTCTCTCTGTATGACTGATAAATAACTAAAATAACATGGTAAACTCTCTCTGTATGACTGATGAATAACTAAAATAACATGGAAAACTCTCTCTGTATGACTGATGAATAACTAAAATAACAAGGAAAACTCTCTTTGTATGACTGATAAATAACTAAAATAACTTGATAAACTCTCTCTGTATGACTGATAAATAACTAAAATAACATGGTAAACTCTCTCTGTATGACTGATAGATATTTAAAATAGCATTGTAAACTCTCTCTCTGTATGACTGATAAATAACTAAAATAACATCGAAAACTCTCTCTGTATGACTGATAGATAACTAAAATAACATGGTAAACTCTCTCTGTATGACTGATAGATATTTAAAATAGCATTGTAAACTCTCTCTGTATGACTGATAAATAACTAAAATAACATGGAAAACTCTCTATGTATGACTGATTAATAACTAAAATAACATGGTAAACTTTCTCTGTATGACTGAAAAATTTCTAAAATAATATGGTAAACCCTCTCTGTATGACTGATAAATAACTAAAATAGCATGATAAACTCTCTCTGTATGACTGATAAATATCTAAAATAGCATGGTAAACTCTCTGTCTGACTGATAAATAACTAATTTAAAAATAACATAGAAAACTCTCTCTATATGGCTGAAAAATATCTAAAATAGCATGGTGAAGTCTGTCTGTATGACTGATAAATAACTAAAATAGCATGGTAAACTCTCTCTGTATGACTGATAAATATCTAAAATAGCATGGTAAACTCTCTCTGTCTGACTGATAAATTACTAAAATAACATGGTAAACTCTCTCTATATGGCTGATAAATAAATAAAATAGCATGGTAAACTCTCTCTGTATGACTGATAAATTACTAAAAAAGCATGGTAAACTCTCTCTGTATGACTGATAAATAACTAAAATAACATGGTAAACTCTCTCTATATGGCTGATAAATAACTAAAATAACATGGTAAACTCTCTGTATGACTGATAAATAACTAAAAGAGCATGGTAAACTCTCTCTGTATTTCTGATAAATAACTAAAATAACATGGTAAACTCTCTCTGAATGACTGAAAAATTTCTAAAATAATATGGTAAACTCTCTCTGTATGACTGATAAATATCTAAAATAGCATGGTAAACTCTCTCTGTATGACTGATAAATATCTAAAATAGCATGGTAAACTCTCTCTGTATGACTGATAAATAACTAAAATAACATGGTAAACTCTCTCTATATGACTGACAAATAACTAAAATAGCATGGTAAACTCTGTCTGTATGACTGATAAATATCTAAAATAACATGATAAACTCTCTCTGTATGACTGATAAATAACTAAAATAACATGGTAAACTCTCTCTATATGACTGATAAATAACTAAAATAGCATGGTAAACTCTGTCTGTATGACTGATAAATACTGTAAACCAACTTTTATTCGCGTGCGAGAAATATTCGCGAGTTTCGCGACCTACTTTAACTCGCGAATATTAATCGCCGCAAACCATTTATTTTGCTTTGTAATTGTGGACAATGTTTCCTCAGTCGTGAAAATTAATCGTCGCGGATTGATTTCAAAGTGACAAATCGCGAATAAAAGTTGACACGAATAATAGTTGGTTTACAGTAACTAAAATAACATTGTAAACTCTCTCTGTATGACTGATAAATATCTAAAATAGCATGGTAAACAAGTGTTGTAATTCTGTACATGTTACATGTGGGTCTGAGACTGCATGGTAAAACATACATGTAAATATAGCAAAGTCATGAAACCTTTCCACCTTTATACAGTAAATATCATCTAAATCCTTGATTAAAGAAAAATTAGTAATTTATGAAGTTTTGTTTCAGAATGATTCAGAAATGTTTGGTCGCACATTAAGAGTAAACATGGCCAAACCAATGAGGATCAAGGAAGGCAGCTCCAGAGCAGGTATCGCTTTATACGTCATGTTGACTAACTCTCAGGAAGAAGAAATCTGTTAATATGTATAAACAAACCTCTCTCACCATATAAACTGACAGCAGAGATAGAATATATAGAGAATTTGTTATGGAACTTGAATAATTTGAATTTTGATTCGTTTTCATTTGATTAGTATCACCTAGATATTGTGCTTAATTTTAGTGTGGTCTGAGGATACTTGGCTCCAAGAGTATGCTGGGAAAACAACAGATAAAAAATCCAGTGAGGCTCCGCAGGGGGAAACAGACAAATCTGAGGTGAGTATTACACCACAAAATAAAATCATGTACGTTAAACCAGAGTTAAAAAGCAAAAGAAACTAAATAAACTGACAACTTTTAGCAAATAATTTAATTGGATTTACTAACCAATAAAGAATTTAGATATTTAAGTATTTCACAGCAATAGTTTATAGTGAAATAAATATCTATGTGATGTAATCTAGTACCATCTAAGGGAATTACATCAATATCTGGTACATTTATAATTTTATCTGTTTCATACTCTCTAAAATATTTCTTAGGAGTCTGATGCCCCACCCGCCAAAAAACAGAGGACAGGTAATCCACAGGTGTACCTGGATATCAAGGTGGGCAATAGTACAGGGAGGATAGTTATAGAACTCAGGGCTGATGTTGTACCAAAAACTGCAGGTAAAGGATTAAAGAGAAAACTCTTCCCTCATTTTCCTCCACGTATATCAATGTTTCTTTTTTTGATATGGTCTTTTATCAAGAAGTTAACAGAAGTTTGAAATGTAGTGATTGGGTGTAAGCTTCAAATGTATCTGTACACTAGCATTTCTTGATTCTTGTTGTAATGGTTACTTTAAATTTATTGAGATTTTTCAATAGAGTTAGTTCAATGATAAGGTCATTTATTACTGTTACTACCTTATTAGTAATAATGCTTGATGAATGACTTTTTTTCCAGAAAATTTCCGGTGCTTGTGTACCCATGAGAAGGGCTATGGTTACAAAGGAAGCACATTTCACAGAGTGATACCACAATTTGTATCCTTCACTACAAGTCTTATAGCTTCCAATTTTTAAAAACTGAAAACTTGTACAATTGTCAAAAATCAATAACTTGTACAGTTGTCACAAATCAATAACTTGTACAATTGTTACAAATTGATAACTTGTACAGTTGTTACAAATTAATAACTTGTACAGTTGTTACAAATCAATAACTTGTACAATTGTCACAAATCAATAACTTGTACAACTGTCACAAATCAATAACTTGTACAATTGTCACAAATTGATAAGTTGTACAGTTGTCACAAATCGATAACTTTTTCAGTTGTCACAAATCAATAACTTGTACAGTTGTTACAAATCAATACCTTGTACAATTCACAAATCAGTAACTAGTACAACTGTCACATGTCTTGTCTGTGAGGTTAAGTAGTCTTTCTTGTTAAAAAAATATCATTTTTAAGCTATGAACAGGTGAAAGTGTCAATTTTTAAGTATGGGTACCTGGATAAGTTTTAGGAGCAAGTCTATTCTCAAGTTATTATGTGTACAGTATATATATAAGTCTATCTGAAGCAACAGATGATGCATCTTAAAATGGTTTTCTAACTTGAAAATAAAACAGATAAATACATACTTTTTTTGAATTTATTCAATTAAAAAAAAATTTAGTGGGCACTGTGCTCATAAATCTATTTAATGTGCAAAACTGCATGATGAGATGAACAGAAATTGGACAATTTTGAAATATGGAGACTTTGCTGTCACCTTGTTTGCTGCACAGTAAATTTCAGTATATTGACAGATTTATTCAAACATAATGATACATTGAAGCATGTAATATAAGTTTCCTTAAGATTTTAAGATGTGTCAGGGAGGTGACTTTACCAACCACAATGGGACGGGAGGGAAATCTATTTATGGACGTAAATTTGAGGATGAAAACTTCACATTAAAACACACAGGACCAGGTCTGTGTTCGATAAAGTTGAGAAAACTTGTTTCTCTAGCTCAGTTCAAATTAATACATATTGCTGAATGAATATGTCAGATCTGAGAATTTGTGTGAATTACTTTACATTAACTTCATTATGATCAATATTACTGTTACTACCTATAGAGAATACATACAAAATGGAAACTGCTTGTTTTTGGTCAAAAAAAAGATTTTTATGACAATGATACAATATCATCCTTGTTTTTGTAACAGGTATCTTATCCATGGCCAATTCAGGTTCTAACACAAATGGTTCACAGTTTTTTATCTGCACAGAAAAAACAGACTGGTAAGATCCTTTATAGAAATTAAGGTTTTTTTAATCATTTCGTCCAAAAATCAAGCATTACATTTATTATTAAACTTTCATTTAAATAATTGAAGCTAACACTTTACTTAATCACTACCCCCCCCCCCCCCTTTCCCACAACACACACAAATACATGCACTAATGAGGGCACTATATGCTGTCCTTCTCTCTGAAACTTGTTTTGGTCGCATCTTTCTCCAGTATTACACACAATACCTACTGACAGTTTTTGCCCCATATTTCATAGTTGTTTGATGTTCGCTTTCAAATCTTGCAGTATTTATTACACTCATATATTCAATAGATAAGGGGCTAAGTTTGGTCATTACCATACCCTGTCCTTTATCTTAGATGAGGGGCTAAGTTTGGTCATTATTGTACCCTGTAGACCGTTCACGGTAGCTCAGTTGGTAGAGCACTCGCTCTGTGATCGGGAGGTTGTGAGTTTGAATCTCGGCCGCGACAGACCTAAGTCGATAAAAAATGGGTAGCAACTGTTCCTTCGCCATGCGCTCGGCACTTTGAAGTGAAAGTTGCGGGTCCTTTGGATGAGACCTTAAAAACTGAGGCCCCGTGTCACGGCAGGCTTTGGCACGATAAAGATCCCTCACTGCTCAATGGCCCTGAGTGCCGAGTAAAGGTCAAAATTTGAAGCCCTTCACAGGTATATGGTGACGTCTCTATATGAGTGAAAAATTCTCGAATGGGACGTAAAACAACATACAATCAGTCAATCAATATTGTACCATGTCCTTTGTCTTAGATGAGAAGCTAAGTTTGGTGGTTACCATACCCTGTCTTTGTTCTTGTTCAGTTTACCATGTATGCATTCTCATGCCTGTCACTCATTCACTTCCTGTTAGAGATGTGTATGTCCTTTTCATGTAATGTACAAATATATTAAAGTAAAAATGTGGTATACATCTGAAATTATAAACTGACTTTCTCACTATATCTCGTCAATTGATTATCTAATTTATAAGTTTGTATAGGCAATTTAACTATCTAGCCATCTCTGCAATCAGTATGATTTATTGTAGAAGATGTTCATTAGGACTTACAGAATCCAGCTTTTTTTGGAAATAAACTCTATTAACAACCAAAATAAATTAGCTGATAATCTGTTGTTATGAAGTTTTTAATCGGTGTTTTTTCTTTCTTTCACTCAGGTTGGACAATAAACATGTTGTTTTTGGGAAAGTGATAGATGGAATGGACATGGTCAGGAAAATGGAGGTTTGTATTGTCTACAATTCCTAAAGATTTAACTTAATTAATAATTAGGAGTAGCAGTGATTAATTGGTTAACCGACTTATCTATCAGAAAATATTACAAGATTTGATTTTTTTTTCAGTATGTGTACTTTTTGAAACAATAAAACTCCTAGGTGGCATATTTAAAACTGAAATGCTGCAATCTATCAAATACCGGTAGATAAGACTAACTTTAAAGTGATGTTTGTTTGCCCTCACCCAACTCAGGATGGAAAAATTGGGTTGGTAGGTAGGTGAGAAATTTTTTCTCGGAAAATTTTAGCATTTTTCAAAGTTTTTTTTTTAATGTTTTTCTTTTCTTTTTTTTTTTTTAATTTTCCATATAATACAGCCATGGTTAATTGAAATAAGAAAAAAGCACACTTGTTCAGGATCCATTTCTTTTATGTCAGTTCATAACATAGTCTGAATAACAGTTTGGAATTTGAAAATCCTAAATATTAAACCTTTTTAAAAGGATCATATCATCGATACTGCACTTTTATGAACATATAATTTCAATGCTAAATTTTTAAAATCTACTTTCCAGAATACTTTAAAAAAATAATTGCGTCCTGGAGGCTAAAAAAGTTTTTTAAGTCAGGCCATTTTTAGCCAGTCGGTCAGGAGAGGGCAAACAAACAAATTTTTAAAGATGACCTAATACACCAGAATCTACCATACCTATTAAAAATATTTACAATTGTTTTCACTTATACTTGTATAACACTATTTTAGGAATGGGTATATAAATGCATCAATGATTAGATACAGTCACATAACCATAAAATAAGTAGTAAAATATCATTTACAGTAAAACATGCTTACAGTGAACACACTTATAAAGAATTGACACTTACAGCAAAGTGATTTGCATTCCCCAAGACTTTAAAATATATATTGTAAACTTAACAGATATAACGAATTATGCTTATAACGAAGCAATATCATTCGTCGCTGGCACTTCGTTATATCTGTGTTTTAATGTATAAACATCTGTTGGGATATAGATGTGGGCTGGTACATGATGGAATCAGCAAGGCTATCTTTAAAAAGAATGTTTGCTTGCCCTGTCCTTGATCAGGATAAAAAAATTGGGAAGGAAAGTAGGGAATTTTTTTCCCCAAAATTTTCAACATAAATCAACATTTTTGATGTAGTATATTTGGGTCCTCAAGATGCTTCCCATTTAATATGGGCTTGTATAATAAGGGTTTGAATGATCAAAATATTAGAATATTCATGGAAAATTTTGAAATGAATAAAAAGGAATGATTGTTTCCTGGAGGTTTCACCTTATCTATATTCAAATAGATGGTTTGCATTGATATCCTACTGTGGAATCATTAGATTTCGTGGTGGCTCAATTTTCTTGGAATTTGTGGGTATCTCTTCTCCAGGAATTAATAAACTATGGTTACAAAGTCATATATCCTTTTGTAGGTATAAGAGAATGCACAGAATTACATCCCCCCGAACATGTAAAATTAAAGCAATCCACAAAAATTATCCCCCACAAATTTTCAATGATTCCACAGTATTTGCTAAGGAATGGCAAAAGAAGAGTACACACTTTAAGTTCCTGTAAACTTAATATCTATGCACAGATTTCCAGACAAACAATATACCATGGAAATAAGGATATGAACTTAAAATAAGACACTGTTACCACTGCTGCTGTAAGATGCTGTGTTATTCAGCAAGAAATATAAAACTTTACAAATATCTAAAGTATGTTATTACAAATGTGAAAATAGAAAAATTGTGTTCTAGGAGAAATAGCAATCTGGCATGATCTTCGACCATTTTAGCATTTTTTTTTAGTTAAAAAAAAAAGAAAAAAAAAGTTTATTCATAGAGGTACTTTTATGGTGTTAATATTGTATGTAAATTCAGATGAAACTAGATAAAAGCATAGGAAAAATACATGCTTTCAAAATAATGTAATTTACTGAAGAAGACATAGTTGTGGCTGATGTTAACAAAATCAAGTAACAAATGACATTGCACCGATAGGTTATCACAAATTTAGGAGAAAACACAAGTTTTTATGCTTCTTGAAGTGAAATACACTTTTATGGTTCTATTTCAGGCATGTGGAACAAAATCAGGAAAACCTACACAGAAAATCACCATCACAAATTGTGGAGAACTTGTATAGCAAATAAAAAATATAAGAAAACCATGGGTACGTGTGAAGTTCATCAAAAGATAAAATCACCATCACAAATTGTGGTGAACTTGTATAGCAAATAAAAAGTATTTAACAACCATGTATATGTGTGAAGTACATCAGAAGATGAAAGGCTGCTCTTATCATTCCAGGTGACAAAAAATTCAAAACAAGCGAGTTTATTGGTCTGCAGAGACGACTATAAAGGGTTAGAAGGTGGATAAAATATACAGGTTGATTAAAAAACTTGTCTAGAATTAGGGAGTGAAAGCAATGGAGGAAAGTGGAGAAATTCTCCCAAAAAGCGCAGACAATCTTGTGGTGTAAATTGAACCTTATTTGCATTACGGAACCTGTAGCATTATGGTCAAAGACTATTATATAAAACCATAACGCTTCAGTTCTGCAGCTAATCTAGAGGGTGTGTGTGGTGGTCACCCCCCCCCCCCCCCCCTTCGAATTTTCAGTTATTAAATTTCTGTGTAAGGGTAAGGAAAAACTTACTTTTCCCCATTTAGGAAACATGAACCCCTCTTAAAACGGTAAGTAATTTTTCTGAAGAAAATTGACACCATCCCACCCTACCCCCCAGAAAATATGATTTTCAGCTTTAGGGAAGTTGTTTATAATTTGGCTTTGTTTGTTTTTGTTTTTTGTTTTTTTTTTTTGGTTGTTTTTTTTTTTTTTTTTGTTTTTTGTTTTTTTTTGCTTGTCCAAAAATTTCTGAGACTGAAATTTGTTAGAGTTGATGTAACACCCCCCCCCCCCCAATCCTGTCAGTACTGTGGAGCACCCTTGGTTTATTGACAGTAACATACAGAGACATGTACTAGACGTACATACAGACAAATTAAACCAAAACCAATAGATATGACCTGTAGTTAAAGACATAATGAATGCTATGAAATGGCAATCCAAGTTTTACATTGGAATATATAGGAAGAGTCTTAAACACCTGCTAGTAAGGAACAGCAAAGCTATGATTAGTCATATTTATATGAAACCATCCTCAGGTATTGTAGATTCAAATTTGTACAAATCATGACCCTTGGGGTTAGAGCAGGGCCACAATGTGCAAAGTTTTACATTGTAATATATAGGAAGATTTTTTTAAATATCTTTAAGAACAGCAAAACTATGAATAATATTTATATGGAAGCATTCTCGGGTAGTGTAGATTCAATTATTTTCAAATCCTTACCCCCGGGGATAGGGTGGGGCCACAATGGGCAATCAGAGTTTTTTTTTTTTTAGTAATATGTAAGAATCTTTAAATATCTCCTGATAAAGAACATCAAAGCCATGATTGGTCATATTTATATGGAAGCATCCTCAGATAGAGTAGATTCAAGTTTGTTCAAATCATTAACCCCCCCCCCCCGGGGGGGGGGGTTGGGTTAGGGCAGAGTCGCAAAACCCACTGAGTTTTTACAAAAAAATAAATAGAAAAATCTTCTTGTGAGGAACGGCAAAGCCATAATTAGTCATATTTTTTGAAAGCAATCTCAGGTGATGTAGATTTAAGTTTGTTCATATCATGACCTTGGGGGATAGGGTGGGACCCAAGTAGCAATCAAAGTTTTAGGAATATATGAAATTCAGTTCAAAAGCCCCAACTTCTTCAAATTATCAGTGATGCACTTAACTTCATGTTCTGACAATTAATTTTTTTAAACATTAAAGTATGTTTTTACTGGAATCGGGAACTAGATTACATGTCATTCACCTGATGAATGTCAGTTTCTAGGGTGACGGACAAGGAATGGTCCCGCACTATAATTAACACGCCTCTTCAGTAAGATTCTTATCGTGTGATGATTAAACAATACAGGACAATAGAGATTTGTTATATAAGTTGGTATTTTGAAGATCTTGATGAGGAAGTCTCGTCGTGCATTGATTTGTTTCAGGGCGTATGTAGTGGTAATTAGAGATGCAAAAAATATCTGATGACATCTGTCAAATCTCGTCACTAATACACAGTAAGCAAAAAAAAAAAAAAACGTTATAGAAGTTACACAACCTCGGTTAGGTATTAAACAATGAAAATACTTTTTTTTTGTATTTTAAAAAAAATACATATTTTATAGCTTGTATTAGAAATCTGAGAGTCAGGGATCGGCATTCTCAGACTGAAGAGGAAATAGAATGACATACGGGTACAACGTTACTACAAATGAATCATCCTAAGGCCTTTTGAAGTTATTTAAAAACTGATATAACAGCCATCAGCAATAATATTGTGTCATCTGTTTCAGGCTGAATCTTTTCTAATATGAGAAAATCGATTTTTTTGACATCAAGAATTCAAATTTTGATATCAGATAATCCCATGCATCTTTAACATTTGATGTCAACCTCCATTGGTTGCTACATCAAAATTTATTTTCTAATATCATATACTTAATTTTTTGACATCAGATGATTTTTTTTTTTAAATTTCATATTATCAATCTCTTTCTCCGTCGGAAACGACATAAAAGTTTGATTTAAAATATTCTTGTTGAAATCAGAAAATATCCTAAAATTACTAAAATGCCACCTAGTAGATGATAGAGTTTTATATATTTTTTTTTAATTATATCTGAAAAATCAATATCTGATTCCCTGTAATATCCCATTTATCATTATTTTCATAATCAATGCTTTACAGTCACAAATCTCAATGGTTTTTTGAAATCAAGAAATGTCTGAATCTGAATCTTATTATCAGAAACTGGATTTTTTAGTTTTAGGCCTATATCTACTTAGTTCCTGAAACAGTCTATGATCCGAGCGTGATAAAGTGCACGCTAATTCTGTCTGTTAACAGTTTCACGTCATCCTGTTAGTTCTGTCTGTTAACAGTTTCACGTCATCCTGTTAGTTCTGTCTGTTAACAGTTTCACGTCATCCTTAGTTCTGTCTGTTAACAGTTTCACGTCATCCTGCTAGTTCTGTCTGTTAACAGTTTCACGTCATCCTTAGTTCTGTCTGTTAACAGTTTCACATCATCCTGTTAATTAGTTCTTAATCGTTTAGGTAAGATCTCTATAAATACTTGATATATTGGATAACCAAATCTGCATCAATTTGTAATTATAACGAATAAAGTTTCTTTGGTTCTTATAAGACAGATTAAGCCATTGAATTGGCACAGTATTCGCAACATTGTAAATTCCCAATACTTTCCATGACCTTTGACCTATTCTTGCATCTCTGTAGGATGCTTGAGACAGAAAGGCTCATTGGTACGCTAAATGGTGTCCGTAATTCAGGTAATACCTGTCACTGTCCTTGACTTTTATTTCCGCGGTATTCAATTTCCCCTACCGTCGGCTTCCATACAGCTCTGTAGCAAGTTTGAGACTGTAATGTTGAATGATCACATGCTGACCTTTTGTCTATTTGACTTTGGAATCAATAACTTCTTCTCACGATATCCATGCATTTCTGTAGCAAGTTGGAGAAAGATTGAGTGTTACTTTATAGCTCACCTGAACCAAAGTCTCAAGTGAGCTTTTCTCTGATCGTATACTGAGTATGTGTCCGTTATCTGTCGTCGTTGTCGCAACTTTTCACATTTTCATCTCCTCCTCCAGAACCACAGGGTCAATTTCAACCAAACTTGGCACAGGGTATCTTTGGGTAAAGGGGATTCAATTTCTTCAAATGAAGGGCTACACTCTTTTTTAAGGGGATATAATTAGGAAGTATTAAAAATTGGGTGGGGGTAATTTGAAAAACCTTCTTCTGAAGAACTACTGGGCCAGAAAAGATAAAATTCATGTAAAAGCGTTCTTCGCTAGTATAGATTCAAGTTTATTCAAATCATGTCCCCCGGGGATAAGGTGGGGCCAGTACAGACGATCAAAGTTTTATGTAGGAATTCACAGGGAAAATCTTTAAAATTCTTCTTCTCAAAAACGGCAAAATCATGATTAGCTATATTTATATGAAAACATCCTCAAGTAGTGTGGATTCAAATTTGTTCAAATCAAGACCCCCAGGGTAGGATGACACCTGAAAGTACGAATGAAAGTAACGATTATTAATTGATAAAACGTCGTTGATGTATCGAAATGCCGAGTTGAAGGCCACAGCAAGAATTTGTTATCTTTTCATGTAGCAGTTTTTGAATAAATTCTGCTTCATAGGAATATTTAAAAAAGACAGGTCGGCTAATAATAATAAGGAGCCTAATTAATGCCACACAGGATTCGAAAAGATTGTTGAAAGACCTGGTCTCCGAAGACTACATAGATATTGTCAATGAGGAATTCAAGCATCTTTTTAATATCAACCTCAGAGTATTTGTGTGTAGAATCAGAATGATTTTTAACGAAGTAATTTTGTAGGTGACCAATCACAAGATATAAAAATTTCCGAGTTCCATTTTTATTGAAGAAGCAATTGTCTATGATATAAAAAAAAACAAAAAAAAAAACAAAAAAAACAAAAAAAAAAACATAATTTTTAATTTATCGTGAGGAATGGTTGTAAGACATATGGAGATAACGAACAGTATTCAAGCTCAAAGTCCATTAAAACAATACAAATCAGGAGCAGAGCAAACACAGACCTCCAAAAACATCAGAAGTGGGATCAGGTGCCACGGAGGAGTGAGCATCCCCTGCCGACCGGTAACACCCGTCGTGTGCTCCTTGTCATGATCGCCAAAAACAAAAAAAAAACCCGGAAAAGTCCGTAGACAATTCAGTGTGTAAATAGTGGCCTAACAATTAGTATGAAAAATGTCAGTCATTGGCTAAATGATAGGTTGTATTTGCTGACAAGGTCAGTATATCGACCATAAAACTTGCGAAATAATAACTTCAAACGAAACTGTTGATATCCATGTTTCATCAACTAGTTTGTCAATAGCTTGCTTCGTTTTACAAATTGTTGGTACTTAGAGCATGCTCTTGCGTATCGAATCAACTGGGAGACAAAACCCCCATATGCAAGTGATAAGGGTATATTGCTACATAAGGAAGGGAGATTGACGATTGAAAAGTTGAAGTCATCACGTTTATCATAAAGCTTTGTTGAAAGGCTACCATTAATGTCTTTTTCTAGTAAA